CTTGCCTTTTGTATTCTTATTTTAATATCTCTATCAGTTCCTCCATCTTTATCTACATTACTGCCTAATTAGGTGTACGACTCCACGTCTTAGAGTGGGGTGCCATTAAGAGAAACCACATTACTATTTGCCTGATTTATTCTCATTATCTTTGTCTTTCCTTTATGGATTTTCAGACCAAGCTGCTTTGATCTCGCATTAAGTATATTTAATTTATCTTGCATCTGATTCTGTGAATGGGACAGAAGAGCAATATCATCAGCGAAGTCCAGATCATCAAGCTGTTTTGTAGGGGTCCACTGAATTCCATTCTTGGTGTTAGCAGTTACTGTTTTCATAGTCCAGTCTATAGCCAGTAAAAATAAGAGGGGCGACAAAAGACATCCTTGTCGCACACCTGTTTTTATTTCAAATGCATAGTTTCGTCACCCAGCTTCTGAGTTGAGTGCATGGTGTGACACTGTGAGCTACGAGTGTTTTTCGTTGGCACAGGAGCGGAGCAACAATGGGGTGACCCGTTTGCTATGATGCTGAAACTAGGATTACCAGATTACCAGATTTCAAATGCATCTGTTAGTTTTCCCTCATGAAGAACTCGACATTTCATGTCTTTATATGTTGCCTTTACTAAGTTGATAATTTTCTGTGGGATTCCATAGTGCCCCATCAATTTCCAGAGAGATTCCCTATCTATGCTGTCAAATGCTTTTTCATAGTCTATAAATCCAATGTAAAGTGGTGAGTTCAGTTCAATGCTTTGCTCTATTATAATACGTAATGTGGCTATCTGATCAGTACAGGATCTGTATGACCGAAAACCTGCCTGCTCATCTCTTAGCATTTTATCAATAGCATCTTTTAATCTTTCCAAAATAATTCTACTTAATATTTTTCCAGGAACTGACAGCAGCATAATTCCTCTATAGTTTTCACATTCCTGTAGATCACCTTTTTTTGGGCAGTTTCACAAGATATCCTTCTCTCCAGTCTGCTGGTATTTCTTCGGTCTCCCAGACTTTACTGAATAATCTATGTAGCAATTCTGTTGATGTGTTTATGTTGGCCCTGATGGCTTCAGCTGGGATACCGTCTGGGCCTGTCGCCTTTCCTTCCTTGAGAAGATTTATAGCTTTCCTAATTTCCTCTTTGGATGGTATCTCACAGTTGATATCCAGTTCCATTTCTAAAGGCTGGATATCTGGGGGAACCTCTGGGCCTGGTCTATTTAGAAGCATTTCAAAATATTCAACCCATCTGTCCATTTGATCTTTAGTGTTAGTAAGTACCTTTCCTTGACTATTTTTGATTGATCCAGTTGGCTGACTATATTTACCTACTAATTTTCTTGTGTTACTGTAAAGTTCTCTGAGGTTTCCTTTTGCTGCCGCTGTCTCTGCTTCTTGTGCTAGATCATTTAGATATTTCACTTTATCTGCCCTTATATGCCTCCTAACTTCCTTGTTGGCTTCTGTGTATTTCTCCTGAGCTCTAGCTTTAGCAGCTCTAGTTTTGCTATTGTTTAATTCTGCCTTTTTACTTTTCCTATCTTCAATCAGTTTAATGGTTTCTGGTGTTATCCATGCTTTATGTTTCCTTTCTTTCTTGCCAAGAACTTCTACGCAAGATTCATTCCAGATTCCTTTGATCTGATCCCAGCAGACTTCCGTGTTGACATCTTCAGCTAGCTGCTGCAACACCTGGTACTTATTAGAGACCGTAACTGAGAACTGTTCCTTAATTTCTTTATCTCTGAGAAAGCCTACATTATATTGGTTTCTATGATTATAAGATGTTATATATCTTTTTAGTTTCAACTTGATTTTACTTACCACCAGGAAATGGTCAGAAAATACATCGGCACGTCTGAAAGAGCTAACATCGTAAAGGGATGATCTAAACTTTTTGTTAATACATATGTGGTCAATTTGATTAGTTGTCTTATGGTCTGGTGATTCCCATGTTGCCTTGTGTATACTTTTATGGGAAAAAATACTTCCACCAATAACATACTGGTTACCTGCACAAAAATTTGTGAACAATTCTCCATTTTCATTCATTACTCCTAGACCATGTCTCCCCATAATTTCTTCATAACCTGTGTTGTCTGATCCTATCTTAGCATTCAAGTCACCCATCAAAATTTTTAAGTTGCCCTTTCTTTCATTATTTATAATATTTTGAAGCTGCATGTAAAATTCTTCCTTAACAGATGCATCTTTATCATTTGTTGGTGCATAACACTGTATTACCGAGATGTTCACATTCTGTTTAACTGTTCTAAAAGATGCTCTTATTATTCTGGGACTCACAGCTTCCCATTCTATTAGTGCCCTGTCTGCTTCTTTTGATAGCATCAGGGCCACTCCCTCACTGTGCGGCGAATTTTCCTCTGTGTGTCCTGAGAACAAAATAGTTTCTCCTGAATTTAGAATACTTTTCCCTGCCCCAGTCCATCTAGTTTCACATAACCCTAAAATACTAATTCTATAATGTTTCATTTCCTTTGCTACTTCCATTGTTCTCCCTATATCATAGAGAGTTCTAACATTCCAGGTGCCAATTCTGGAGATTTTCCTAGCTGAGAGGAGGTAAGTCAACGATCCGGACTCCTTACGGCTTTCTCCACACCGTGTCATACTTCTTCTATTTGAAGAGCCTCCCCTCATCTTGGTTGGCTGGGTTTTATTTGCTTCTCTTTTTGACTTATCCATGGTTGGTTGGTTTTTGTGGCTATGGTTTTTACCGGATGAGGTAGCCAACCTCAAGCCCAACCTTACCCTTAGTCGCCTCTTACGACATGCCTGGTAGGGTGCAGTGTCACTATTCTTTGCTTCCCGTGAGGGCCCCGGTGACACACGGGCGGGCATGCCTCTTCCCTGTGACAAAATACAGATGTGAAACGTGGAATATTTGTCAGTAGAAAGAAAATAGTGGCCTTTGAACTGAAATGCTGCAGAGAGACTCAGAATACCAAAGACAAAGAAAAAAAGAAATACTGATGAGTTTGCCAAATACATTTTTAAGGCCGAAGGGAATGTATTCCATTTAATACTTCACTTTATAATAAGTGTTTAAGAGGGTCTGGGCTGAAATAGTTAATACTGTTTAGAAGTATTTTTGTGTTAAAAATCATATCATGTCCTAGGTTTCATTGCCTTAGGTTCATTACATTGGTTTATATATTCATTCACTGATTTCTAAACCAAGATCGTCATCACATGGGACGCAATGTTTTGTTGAATATAGTTATGCTTCTATCATTTACGTGATTCATATGTGTTTCAGCAAATGAGCGTGGAAGTTGGTGAACTGTTGCCCAATGATGGTTGGCTTTCTCGTCCTATAGAACTACCGGAGACAGAACCTCTTTTAGGCTGCTGCCTTTGTATCAGGTATAAAGTTGTAATTGTGACAATTTCTTTTTTTTCTTTCATTTGCTACAACCACATGCGCAGATTTAAAAACTTATTTTTGTCTTGGCTGCCAAGTCGACTTAGTCTAAAATTTTTACCAGGAGGTGTTTAAGGAAGTAAATCCGGCTGGCATTAATTTGGCCACATCACCCATTGAAGCTGGCACCATACACCTACATTACCTGTCGAGTGCTGATTGATCTATGAAAAAAAAATACATGTAGTCTCATAATGCTTGATGTGAAAATGGCACAAAAGGGTCCTTCACTACCAGATACCAAATATGCCTCAGTGTGTGGGATATGACCTTTAATTTACTGCTCATTATTTCTGAGAGCTGAAGTTCAAAATACATACACTGATGCAAATTTGAACTGTGGCCATGGGATCACTAGGCAGGTGTGTTAGTCACAGTGTACCAGCGCTGCCTGTGCCATAATGGAGAGATACAGTTAGTTGTTTGTCTTTTTCAGGACATTGGAGAACCAGCCCCAGCATTTTAAAGTGATTTCACTAGGCAATTTTATGTACGCCACTGCTTTCTGACGGTCATCTCTCGATCGGAGAGATAAGGAAATAATTTCTGGCATTGCTAGAGTTTAAACCCGGAATCACTGTTTTGTTAATCAAGCACAAACTACTGTGCCACTATTGTTCTTTTTGTAAAAGTTAAAGGTGCTACATCTTGATATTAGATTTAAATCTCTCACTGTTTACTAGCATTGCTGTTTAAATGTATGAAACTTTCCTGCAGGAGAAACTTCATAGCATTTGTAGGTCCATTACTTGTTGAGTCTCTTGTACTGCTTCTTTTTCATCTTCTTTTTGTTCATCTGAGTGACGTAATTGCGTTGTGCCTGTTTACAGCAAAGCTGCAGTATTTGTGCCTTTCAGCCAACGCATCTGACTTCATCGAGCATTTGTTAACCGGATTAACTCACGGGATAGTTTCTTGGGACATGACGTAGTCTTATTTGTTTGATATTTTCTTTGCCCCCTTGTCTACAGTTTTGCCCCACGAGAATCCGTCCAGGACATCTGTATAGACTGGTTGGTCCTTAAGGGAAGGCAGAGGCAGAACATGGCTATTCCCAGTGATCCAAGGAGCTTCTTCATTTTATTTTGTCTTTCAACTTTTAGTGGAGCATAGACCCTCCCCAAAATCTGTCACACTGTTTGTCAAGGTGCTCATGATTTGTTGGATTGTACAATTGTTGGTAATCATATAGCAGATACTCACTGTGTGGGTTTCAAGGCCCCATTATGGGTGAGCAAAAGGATAGACCCACTACCCCCCTAACAAGCATGTCATAAGAGCCGGCTAATTAAGGGTGTTTCCTTTGAAGTCAGAGTGTGTCTGCTTGAGAGGCAAGGAACCAGCAGTTTGCAACAAATAAGCCAGATCTGTAAAATAGCTGTGCATGCAAAAATCAAGTTGAGCCTAAGCTGACATGGTTGGGAACTGTAATCTGGTCCCTGTAGATTAGAGATTGAACCCAACACACTATGTTGACAGGCAAGCACTTACAGGAAAACAGAAGTAAATTGTTGGCACTGTTAATATTTTGCTAATTACTTTTTCTTTAGTGGTTATGTTGGAGTTGAACGAGAGTGTATCATGCATCTAGCACAGATTTTAGGAGCAAGGTGAGTAGAGATCTTTTCTATAGTTTGATGTATTAGTAACTTGTTTATTTTAATTGTATATATATTTGTGTCCTTTTTAGCTATTTCAAAAGAAAGTAATCATAAACTTAAAGATTATAGAAGTGAATCAAATTGTAAAACTGTAATGTAATAATCACTGTAAAATATTATTATCACCTGCCATGGCTTCCTTTCCCAACGTAGTGAAATTTGGCTTGTCTTCAATTGCTGTGATCCTTACCAAAGAGTCTTTAATTTCTTCATATCTTTCAGCTGCCAGGATCATTTTGCCCGCAAGGCAAGGAAAGATCTGCTAGCCAACACTCATCTTGTGGTGAACTATCCCAGTGGATCAAAGTATGAGGCATCCAAGAAGTGGCAGATTCCAGCCGTAGGAAGAGAGTAAGTTGGTAGGATTTTGTAAAAGACTTAAATATGTAACAGACATTGGCAGACAGCTTTGCACTGATGTTGACAGTGGGGTTTAGTGTTGACTATTTCGAAAACATTGGCAGACTATAGGTTAGTTGCGTATCCTTTACAGGACGTTGCAGAACCAACCCCAGCAGCCCCTGGCTATTGGCAGACTACTGAATGTAAAAATGTCTAATATAACCACAAACAGTCATCAGAGCCGGGGTTTATTTCCCTAATGGAAAAAGAACTATCTTTTTAACTTGCATTATTATCTGTATTTAAGTTGGGTCTATAAGGAAACGTCGGCTCTATGGCTAAGTCGATGCGAAAGCTTTGTAATGCCGGGTTCAATCCCAGCTGCAGGCCATGCAGCTTGCATTGGTTTTGACAGTAGTATCAAGAAAGCAGACCATCCAGAAAGCAATGGCAAACTACTGGATGTAAATATATGTGCCCGCACGTGCACATATACATTCATGCATACATAATACCTACATACATATACACACGCAGACATAATATCTACATGCACATTAAAGACTATAACCTTAACAGTGACCAGATGCTGGTAAAACAAGTATCAAGGGAAAAGGTCTCTGTAAACATGCAGTGGCATTGTCAGTTTTTTTTTTTTTTACCACCCCAGTCTTCGTCATATTGAAATTCCATGATCAGAATTTGAACTCTTTGCTTGCTGCTGAAGATGTAGACGGAGCACTTATGGGAGTGTCCTGAGTGCTGTGAAGTCGATTTATTATTCACCATTCAAAATTCTATTTCCTAGTAAGAGCAGCTTTCTTGACTCCCTATAGAAATATGTTTATGAAACATCTAGCTAACAGAATTCATAAACCTCTGGTATGACCTTGCCGGTCCGTGGCTCGCTAACTAGGCCTATGACAGACAGACTAACCTACAACACACACTGAACCCGAACGCACACAGAGCACACACGACAATCTTTATTGGAAGTACAGGTAATACATAGACAGTTGACTTCCCGCCGTGTGGCCACCTATTGCCTGGACCCTCTGGCTGGACGGGCTTTACAATCGCCCCGTCCCCAGTACGTGCGACAGGCAATACTCTGGTGTACAAACCACAATCCGGCAGGATACGCTCTCTTCTATCGCCACGCTGACCCAATCAAACTGTCACAGTCTCTGTCTTAGTGCAGGGTCAGAGTGTCCAGGTTAGCCACTCTCTCACAGCACATATACATAAATACTCTACACAAGAACTATCCTATCCTAACACAAAACTGTACATAAACTATCCAGTCACTAACAGAAATATATCCTAACTTTAATACTATAACATAAACTATCCAGTCACTAAACGTCCTCTCTTCCTGACTGACGCACACCGAATGTCCCTTCTTCCTTCTACCTCGTGTCTCTTAACCCCGTTCACCAGCTCAGTCCCAGAAGAAGCAGTCATCGTGTTACTAAAACACAGTTCAGGCTTTCTTGCTTTATCCTGAGCGCTGGTTTCGCCGTGCGATCACAGAACGGACTTGACCAGTGACGGCCCTGACCTCTGTGTCAACCCTGGGTGCACACCTTACGGTGTGGTACACTGACTGTACTTAATAGGGTTGTGACATTCACCCTTCCTCTGAACTGATACTTCCTGACAAAGTCAAGTATCAGCAAAGCATGGCCTGCCATCATGTACAGTCATGTTTTTAAATTTTATCGTCAATATTTAGTTACCTAAAAAAAAAAATATGTCATGTACTTTTGGGTCAATCACCTAAGGACAAACTATCTGGCACATATTTAATGGGTATATACATTCAATGGGTAAGCTCCTCCCTAATGGGTAGAAATGGTATCAGCCCTTGACACAAATACGTCACTACTCATTACACCTTCAAATCATATGGGTAATGATATAAATAATAATTTGGGTGGACACCCAAATCGTCCGGGACCCAATCACACCTTACTTCACTTACTGTGCAAGTAAGACGCCACTGTATACACTCCCAAGCCGTTTAACCAACGACACCGTGATTTATAACAGTGGGCGTCATGGACTATCTCCATAAGGCTTGTCCATGGTTGTGAAAAGGAGTCATGACCTGACTCCCCGACCTACAGTCGTATAATGTGTCCGCGAATCCGCAGTACCTGCCAAGACACAAATCACCCCATATGACCCACAGTGCAAAATAGGCAGTAAACAAATCTGTGGCCAGTTGGACACACTCCCATCCTCCAAGGATAGTGCTACTCCTCAAATGCAATCTCCATATATGCATTATTAGTTACAACATCATTAACTCTCCATGTGAGTGCCCTTGTAAAAGTACAATCTAACTCTCATTTAAATTGTCAATCATCAATTTTAGAAACCAAAAAAAACAATTAAAAGAGAAAAAAAAAAAAAAAAAATTTAAAGAAAATTTCGTTGTCACTGCTAAACTAAATTGTCAGTTATTTTAAAGTCTACTAGTTTACAAAACTATCTACTCATAATGCACTATTGTCTAACATATACTTTAACAATTACATTTAGTGCACATAGGACACTCAGTTAATATTAAACTCATTGAAACTTTTAATAAAAGTAATGGATTTCAAATTAAGTTTCAAAAACTGAAGAATATTAATATTGCAATTTGAGAATTTTAAAACAAAAATGATTGCAAATCAAACAATTAACATTACTTATGTAATCTAACTAAAAATCTTTAGCAAAGAAAAGAAAAGAAAATATATTTGTAACATCCACATGGGTTGTCACGCAAATAATTTTACACTGAAAATAAATAAGCAAAATACCTCCATAATAATTTCACAAACAAAAATCATTACACTATATTCATTGCAACAAAACAATAAAATTTACAAATCAAAATAAATAAGCAAAATATACATGAAATAATTTTCAAACTCAAAATTATTTCCCTTTTATAAATACCATCTCAATAGTTACAAATCAAAATAAATAAGAAAAATAAATACTGATAAATTACTCATCACAAATCGCAACACAATAGTTACAAATCAAAATAAATAAGAAAAATCCACAAATAAATTACTCTTCATAAATACTAACACAGTGGTTACAAATCAAAATAAATAAGAAAAATCCACAAATAAATTACTCTTCATAAATACTAACACAGTGGTTACAAATCAAAATAAATAAGAAAAATCCACAAATAAATTACTCTTCATAAATACTAACACAGTGGTTACAAATCAAAATAAATAAGAAAAATCCACAAATAAAAATTGTGCGAATGAAATTGAATGAATAAACTTATCAATTCAAAACCAAATAATATACATGAAACAAACATATAAAACATATAGCACATACAGAACATATAAAACATATATAATCCATCCAACATATATTATATTAAAGATGAACATAATAAGATTAACTTATAATATGACAATCACAACATAGAATTCTATTCTATACATTCATTCCCTTTTATTCCAATTACACTCTTCTTTCATACATCACATTTTCCATTCTGCTGAAGTCCTTAGAATGATCATCACCTCTATCTTCCTGTTGGGTAATCTTTTACGATTGTTCAGTTCACTGGTTTTAGGCTAGAACAGTACTTGTATACACTGCTACTTGACAACTGGATCTATGAAACTTGGTGTAGAATTCCGTTATGAGACAGTTTCTAGTCATTCAAGAAGGCATGAATATATGAAGACAATGTTTCACACACAGTCTTTAAATTTCTGAAGGTACCAGACTGTCAATTTCAGGATACCACTAGGCAATCAATAGTTTTACAGCCGGCTTAATAGGTCAGCCGGGTTGTTGCTGTTGCCCTTGTTGTAAGTGATTGTGAATTGGAAATCTTGCAGTAGCAGTGCCCGTCTGGTGATTCTATTGTTCTTCGGCGCACCAGACTTAGTGACGAGCAATGGCTGGTTGTCCGATTGTAGGACAAAAAGTCTGCCCAGGAGGTAACGATTGAGTCTTGTCACACAGACAATCACTGCAGGACACTGTACATAGTGTACCTGGGCTGGAGACAACCTACTGCTCACACAGCAGTTTGGGTGTAACATCTCGCCATCCCACTGCATCAGACATACCGCAACTGCCGTACCACTGGTATGATATCTGAGAACAAATGGTAATATGATATTAGACAGATTTAAAATAGGGGAACTGGAGAAAAGAGTCTTGATTTTGGTGAAAGTATGATCTAGTTCTCGGTTCAACTCAATTGTATTGGAATGCTCCCTTTTTAATGGTTTAGTGAAAAATACATTTTCCTGGATAATGTTCAAGGTAAATTGGTTGTAATGATTGATGAGGTCGAGTAAGCTTCGGATCTCCTTATTGTTGGTGGAGTTTTTAAGATTCAAAAAATTGGGAAGATCTGTAAATCCAAAATGTTGTATTCCTTGAACATCAGATAATCTATAAGGCATCATTAATAAACATGCACATGTCAACAGTATACATTGCAGTATCAGAAATAATAAAGTATGTTTTATTTTGACCGGTTTGTTGATTATTAATTGTAGATGCTGGTAAATGTGTGTACATCTGCCTGGCACATCAGAGAGAACATTATCAATTTCAGCTTTCTGTGTAGATGTTTCTGAAATTTGTTGGGTAATATTAGGTGTAAGGGTTTGTTTGGTTGCAGGTAAGTCTTGTAGGACAGACAAGAGAATATCTGTCGTATCAACTACATTAGAGTCAGGAATGACAGTTCTATTATGGAACTCCTCAACCACTAATTTGTCAGTTGGTTTAGAAGGGATTGGTAACAGTTCTTCCGAATAAACATTATCGGGAGAGATTTCAATTGTTTTATTTGTGTAGAAATTCTCTGAAAGGTTTGTTTGAGTTGATGTGTTGACAGTAAAAATATTTTTCATACATACACTTTCATTCACATCACTCTCTCTCACGGACTGCTGTCCAGTTACAACATTGCAAGTTATGTTGTCCCTCTGCCACTCGATTATCTCACTTTCAGAGACATCCTTTACATTTTTACAGTTGCCAAGGATAATATCAGCAACAGGGTCTGCCAGCACTGCAAATTTTGTTCTACCTGTGCAGTGAGCTGATTTTAGATTGGCCCATGCCAAATCATACTTTTCTTTCTTCCCTGAAAAGGTTCGACATACAATATATTCACCCGTCAAATCACACGCATTCACTAGACTTTCTCTTATACCAAAAACTGTCGACCCAGAATCCCGTAAAATTGTCACTACTTTTCCATTAACTACCCCTTTCGTGAACTTCAGCTGGCCATCGAAACTCGTTACCGCATTTGCATCCCCTATCTCACTGTGACCACAGGTCAGATTACCCTCTTCATTAAACCCTCTGTAGGTCTGGCATCCTGTGTCAGAGAAGTTCACAAGCTCAGCTGAATTTGCTGTAGGTACATCTGCCATACTCCCATCAGAGAACCTACTTCCAGAGTCACTGCCACTGTCAGATATTTCTGCAGCTGCACTCTGATGCTGTCTTCTTCTCATCTTACAGTCTTTTTGTAAATGATCAATCGAGTCGCACAGGCGACACTGGAGTGGGTAGTTTACTGAGCTTTTCTCATGCATTTCTTTCTCCCTCTTACGAAAATGCTCTTCATACTTTGGGTTCATTTCGCACCACTGTCGTTGACCATGATCTCTTTTACAGTATAGGCATGTAACTATTGGACCTTTATCTCTTACAGGTCTGTAGCTCTTATACTCTTTTGAGTATTCTCCTTTCTTCTGAGTATATTGCTTTTTCCTGTATACAGGTTGTACTGCAGCTCCGTAGCCGATGTCTGCACCCCTGTTGAAACTAAAAATGTTTCTGTGAGCATTCCAGTATGCAGCACCTGCATCTTCCATCTGCTTTACTGTTTCAGGTTTTTGCTCAATCAAAAACGTCTTCATGCTGCTCGGGACACTTGACAACACCTTGTCTCTTATCAATAGATCTTTTAACAAATCGTATGATTTGTTCACTTTCGCCGATGTTACCCACTTGTCAAAAGTGGATACCACCTCAGACATGTAATCCAGAAATGTCTGTTCAGCTTTCGGAATCAAATTTTTGAAGGTATTTCTGTAAGATTCCTCATCTAGGGAGAAATGTTGGAGAATTCTATCCCTGACAAAGTAATAATCCTCAAGTTTTTCAGTAGGGATTGTCTCTAGTAATTTCAAAGGTTCCCCCCCTAGATGTTTTCGGTAAATCAGTGACCACTCTTTAAAAGGGACCTCATAGTGATTAACCATACATTCAAAATTTTGTGTCCATGCAGATATGGAATCACCCTGTGTAAAAAATTTTATTAGGCCCTGGTACTTTTTGAACGAAGGTTCAGCAGCCTTTATCTCAGCCTTACGCATCTGCACCTCCGCATCTCTAGTTGCTTCTATCTCTTTGGCCTTTAGTTCCATCACCAGCCTTTCTTTCTCTAGGTCTGAATTGCATATCATCTCTTTTTGTCTCAATATAGAGGTGTGTTCTAGTTCCTTATCCTTGATCAACAACTGTACCCTGTCTCTCTCAGCCATCGCAGATAACTCCTGTTGTTTAAGAGCTATCTGAGCTGCTACTTCTTTGTCTTTTAATGCCGCCTGGGCTTCCAGTTCGATCTGCTTTAGTTTACCAGCGGCTTCTAGTTCCAATTTCTTGAGTTCTCTCTCGTCAGCTCTGTCTTTTCTCTCTTGAAGATCGGCATATTTCTTATCTGCCCATTCTAGCGCCTTCTCGCCAGTCAGACCATGCTGTTTTGCCATCTCGAGGAACTCAGATAGACTCGACATCTTAATTACAATAACAATGATCTTTTGTTCAAAACAAATCAACTCAACAAATCACCTGACTAACCGTAGCTGCCACGAACAAAAATACTAAAAATTACAAGTGGCAAGCCCGGAAATCAGTGAAAACAATGCAAATAATATAGCAAATTAATAAATTCAATACAATAATAATAATAATGGAACAATTCGGACTGTTCGATGCAGAAAAGGGATGGGTCACCGAAACTTATTCGTTACAATTTCCGAATGAGGGATGATGATGTGTGTGCACAAAAGAAAAAAATTAACACAAAAATGAACAGCACTAGTATCACTATGTGGAAAACAATTTCACACACGAAAACACCTCGAAGAAATTATTAATCTCTAAATCAGACGGTACACGCACGAACGATAACGTACTATTAGATAAACACTTATTGACAGGAAAGCACAACGATTGGACAATAACTATTTACAAACAAGACGCTACAAGCATATATCTTGACAATAGACCCGGCTGCAAAAGGAGTTGCAGACGAGACTAGAATCGCAATATAGCTGACACGTAATCTTATGTTAATCCTAGCAACACTAGACAACTAGGGACAACACAAGACTAGCCCTGCCAACCACCCACCAAAAAATAACGTAAATGATGAATAGGACAGACGAGAAATGAGAAGGACAATGAACGGTGACAGGGGCTCAAATACAATTGCGTAGAACCCTCGAGGGCTGGAGAACAGACCACAACAATACACCAAAAGCAAAACAAACTTATCTTCTCTCCAGTCCTTGATTCTTGGCCTCCCACAGAAAGAATGATGAGGATGATGATGATGACCGAGAACGACAGGCCTCGGTTGATCGGTGTCGGCAGAAACCACACAACAGCACACAATCTTGACCTTCCTCACACTTTTTACTGTCCGTCAAACTATTTCTCCTCTACGTCACTAACTTGTCACGACGCAAACGCAGCCCTATCACATTTAGTCATTATTAATTACATTCCGTCGGAACAAATACGAAAACGAAAACAAACTATCACTTTATAGCGCTACGAGTGACCCAAGCCAACCCCGATGTCGCTATCAAAAATTAAGAGTAGGCCCGAACAACGATGCAATATTTAAGAGAATAAACTCAGCAACGCCATCACAAACTCACTCGATAGCAACATCAAAATTAAGGGATTAACTCAATCACGTTAGCCCTACAATAGTGAACGACAAAACTTAAAGAAAAATAAATCAGTCAGCTAAACATACAAAATAATCTATGTCTCCTATTTAGACAAATAAATACAAGCACATTGGGTTCACAATTAACGCGGACAACTATTCCTATGTAGCTACTACTATCGATTCAATTCCCAAGGACGAACGCCCCCATAATCTGTCACAAACCTCTGGTATGACCTTGCCGGTCCGTGGCTCGCTAACTAGGCCTATGACAGACAGACTAACCTACAACACACACTGAACCCGAACGCACACAGAGCACACACGACAATCTTTATTGGAAGTACAGGTAATACATAGACAGTTGACTTCCCGCCGTGTGGCCACCTATTGCCTGGACCCTCTGGCTGGACGGGCTTTACAATCGCCCCGTCCCCAGTACGTGCGACAGGCAATACTCTGGTGTACAAACCACAATCCGGCAGGATACGCTCTCTTCTATCGCCACGCTGACCCAATCAAACTGTCACAGTCTCTGTCTTAGTGCAGGGTCAGAGTGTCCAGGTTAGCCACTCTCTCACAGCACATATACATAAATACTCTACACAAGAACTATCCTATCCTAACACAAAACTGTACATAAACTATCCAGTCACTAACAGAAATATATCCCTAACTTTAATACTATAACATAAACTATCCAGTCACTAAACGTCCTCTCTTCCTGACTGACGCACACCGAATGTCCCTTCTTCCTTCTACCTCGTGTCTCTTAACCCCGTTCACCAGCTCAGTCCCAGAAGCAGTCATCGTGTTACTAAAACACAGTTCAGGCTTTCTTGCTTTATCCTGAGCGCTGGTTTCGCCGTGCGATCACAGAACGGACTTGACCAGTGACGGCCCTGACCTCTGTGTCAACCCTGGGTGCACACCTTACGGTGTGGTACACTGACTGTACTTAATAGGGTTGCCTGCCGACACCAGCTAAAGCAGATGACAATAATCAATTTGCTGATGATGTGTTTTATGAAAGAAAAGATGCCAGCATTGAAAAGGAAGGGAATCATGTAGCAGGCAATTTAATGTTGACAGAAGAGGTGGCAAATATTAGAGCCTTTGAGGATTCAGTACAGTGTGATGGCAATAATAAAGAAATAATGGTAGAGGAACAATCTGAAAAACAGGTATTTATGATTGTTTTAAACCTTTTCTCTTTTGTCTGTGTTCAACTTTTAAAAGGATCATTGACATGTTCTGTTGTGGTTTACAGTTAGGCTGTGACATCTTTTGATTCAGCACATGCCATTTTAGCAAACCACTAGTTAGACACTTTGTATGACCTTCTTGTTGTGGGTGGGGGAGGGGAGGTAGTGGGTCAGGCCTCCCCCCTCCCCACCATCCCACCCCAAAATGGGGCCACTGAACCCACACACAGAACTCTGGAGTTCTATCTAAAGCATTTTCAGAGCGGTTATTTTTCTATTATTGACAATGTTTGTATTTTGTTTCAAACACTGGAAAGGGGGGGGGGGGGGGGGGGGGCATTGCTGGAAGACAATTACATCTTAAACTTCAACTTATACCAGATTATTACTTTGTTCCAGTGCCTGGACAGAGTACCATCGTCGTCTGCTGAAAGCTCTGACCCAGTCAACAAGAATGCCATTGATGTGAATCCAATGGCTGAAATTCAGCATCATCTCTTGACGCCATCTTTAAGCAGTAACAAGAACAGGAACTCTGGAAGGAAAAGTGCTTGCAGACCCAACCAGAGTGAAAATATTACAGCTGGTTTCTTGAAAACTCCAGTAGATATTCGACGTCAGAAATGGGTACATACTGTTTTTTAAAAAAAATAGTCCATACTGTGTGGTTTTGATAATCATATCTTTAAGATATGCTTGTTGTAAAGGGGAGGGGGGGGGGGGGGGGGTAGTTTCACCTTCTCATTAGTGAATGCTATATGTTCGTATTGCAAACTGGTTTACTTCCTGCTTCAAACATCCTTGACTACTGTAGTTTTTATTTTTTTAAACTTTTTGTTGTAATTTATGTAGCACAAATAACTTGTGGCACTAACTTCACAACTGTTTATGGCTAATCTGATTGACTGATATCAAGGGCCAAATCTGCAGTGATTTATCAGACTGAGCATTAAATGCTAAAATGAAAAAAATAAGCACATTGCAGCAGCTAGCTGAAAGAAGGAAATGGACTTATATTGTGAGATAATTTTTTTAATTTTTCTAAAAAACTTGTTATAGTAATTATTGAAGTGAGTTACATTTAAAAAAGAGACTTCTGGTCCAATATGAAGGACTAGACATGGCAGAATGTGTAGCTTTAAAGTTATTTTTTGCTTCAGACAGTGTTTTGCAGTTTCCACTTTTGGGTGGAATTCTATGGTTTCATAAATGGCTAAATTGAAAAATGACACATTGCAACAGAAAGAAGGTAACAAACTTATTTTGTAAGCAATTTTTGTTGTTGTTGATGAAACAATTGTTATGGTAATTATTGACATGAATGAAAGAAACTTGTGATTGCCATTTTTTGCAGGGGCGCATCTCATGTGGAGAAAGTCCAGCTTCTACCAGTACACCTCAAGGGCTGATACATGGTGGAGGAGAGACACCTGGTACATTTATGCAGCCAAACTTTAAACCTAAATTCAATCTTAATGTAAGGCATTCAGATGTGTACTTTGCAGCTTTTATCATTGTGGTAAAGCTAATATCTCCACTGATTAATACGACATACTTATCATTAATATTTATTTCCCTGTGTGGGTTCCAGAGCCCTGTTATAGGGAAAACAAAAATAGATCCACTGCCTATCCAAAAGCATGTCGTAAGAGTCGACTAACTGGGAGCTTCCTTTAAAGTCGGAGTGCATCTGCCTGAGAGGCAAGGAACCAGCAGTCTGCATACAAATGAGTCAGATTTGTAAAACTGATGCACACGCAACACCCAGGTTCTGGAACTGGACTGCAGTCCAGAAGTGGATGAACAACCAGAACTTTCCACCAGAGTTTACAGCTGGTGAATGTGAAGAAGAAGAAGAAGATTAATATTTATTGTGTGAGTTATGAGTTAAATTATCTTCACAGCACTCCGTACACATCCATAGGCGTTCAGATTCCCCTCTCAACATATTCATCAGCATCGTGCGGGTAATAGTACCAGTCCTATGTTGGTTAACAAGACTTTGTGTGCGTCCTGTGTGCTTCTCATGCTTGGCTGTGCCGATCTTTACTCCCAATTCACGTATTTTTAGAAGTGATGTGGACATGTTGCTTCGGAAATCCTCAAAACTCTCTAAGGGCAATGACAATGTCTGTGTGATCCATGGGCCGGCCATCTTCAATTACTACAGTGCCTGCTAGTCTATCAGCTCTCTCATTATTAACAATGCATGCATGCATGCCCTGGGACGAAGATGAAAGTAACTGCACACACAGGAGAATTTTGCAATGACTTAAGCCACTGTCTGCGTAACCAGCCTGCCTCGACCCGCCGGATCATACTCCAAGAATCACTCAGCAAACAGACGCTGGAATAGTCCTGTGATCCCAGCCACATGAAAGCCTGTGTCACCGCCATCACCTCCATCGTCATGCTGCTGGTGGTCATACAGAAGGCACCGCTGGCCTCCTTAACTGTTCTGCCTGAAGAGCGAGCTGTGAATGCCAGTGCACTCTTATGTCCTCGTATAACGGACCCGTCTGTGAAGATCACCACATCTGTCTCATCTGACTTGTCACTGATAAGCGCGCATACCTCGTCATTAACAGCAGCTGGATTCTGCTCCCGACAAACTCTATCGAGCGTCACAACACAGGAGAATGTGAGATTGGGCGCTTTAGACTCTGGTTTCCACTCCTCACCTGGATGGATGTAAGGCTGCAAACCTGCATGATGTCGTCCTCTGCTCTACCCAGCCATGATTTGCCCCTTTTAAGCCTATTGCCCTTTTTCTTGAAGAGCATGTGGTGCAAAGGGTGCTTCAGATCTGAGCTTATTTTGAGGTATGCATGAGCCCTCCAGATCTTGATCCTGTAGTTCATGGTAGGGAAGTGAAGAAGGTACCTCATTGCTACACAAGAGGTGTCTCCAGTGCACCCTAGAATAATGTGCATTGCTTCATTTTGCACCTTCTCAAGTCTTTCAAACTGAGTATGGCTGACAGTGAGGATAGCAAGAGCATATTCGATGGGAGAAAGTACAAGTCCCTGGAACAGAAGCAGAAGCAGTCTCTGCTCAGTCTTAGCGGCAGCCAGGACCCTCATTGCTGACAGGCAAAGAATCAAATGCCATGAAAGACCTTATTTGCCGAACAGTTGCCTTGGGCATTCATGTCTCTACAGGTTTCAGCCCTGCATGTTAATTTCTGCTACTGTTGTTCTGAGTTCTCCATTGTTAACTCTTTCTGTTCTTGTGTGCTGAAAAGTGTTCATAAGCCAACATAATGCTTTAACTTTAAAATCGAAATATAATGTGACAGTCTGATGTTACAGGGAGTCTTTGATACACCAGATTCTACCACAGTTCTGAACAAGTCCACAGTAAGTTCATTGTTACTATAGTTTTACTGTGAAGTTTAGCCTTTTGTTTTAGACTAATGTTCGGCAATTTGATTGAGGGCTCTGCTCTACTGTTTGGGGGTGGGGGTCTCCTTCTTGTTTACTGGCAGAATGTACTTGTTGTTTGTCCACTTTTGGACTTTGGTCTTGTTTCAGAACTTTCATTTGACAAATCTTTGTATGCAGACTTGGTTCCTCGCCTCTCAGGCAAATGCAGGCACCTTGTTACTTTTTTTTTTCTTTTATGTTTACATTGAAAGTGAGGAAATATCTTGTTTGTACTGTGTTACCATGTCAGAGTATATTAACCTACCAAGCATGCTGTAAGAAGCGAAACCTTTGACATTTAATTTTGTATTTTTATTTTTATCATGTTATGTTTGGTGGTATAGTTCTGCTTCTTGATCGCCTGAGTGACATAAATGTATTGCCCTTGTTTAAAACATAGCTGCAATATTTCTACCTTTCGGCTGACACATCTGACATCTTTGAGCATTTGTTTTTCTTATTGTTAGTTTCATGGAACATTTTTCTTCTTATTTTGCCTTTCTAGTTCCCATGGAACATAGACCTTCAACCAGCTCACGCCAAGTCATTATATCCTTTGCTATCTCATGCAGCTCTTCCTATGTCCTCCCCATCTTTCTAACTTAATTTTCCTGCTCCCTTCTCTATGTGTTTTTTAGGCCTTCCTTTATTTGTAAGCCCCTGTGGGTTCCAATGCAAAGACACTCTATAATGTTGCATTTCCCTTACTACTTCCATTGTTCTTCCTATATCATAGAGAGTTCTAACATTCCAGGTGCCAATTCTAGAGGTTTTCCTAGGTGAGAGAAAGTACAAGGTCTGACAAATTAGTAATGAGACTAATTTATTAAAACTAAAATAATCAACAGTTGAAGTTATAACCTGTATTTTATTCAAAGAAAGTCCCTTTGTGCATTGATACAGTGAGTAACACGATCTTACAAACACTGGAACAACCTCTAGTTCTTCTGTTGCTATGGCCTTTAAAGTCAATGTTTTGGCTATTTGGATGTCATCAATATCATCAAAGAAGCGTCCTTTAAACGGCAGCTTTAATTTTGGGAATATAAAATAATCACAGGCAGACAAATCTGGGAAATAGGGTGGATGGTTGAGAACACACACTTGTTTTGGAGCCCAAAATTCCTGTTTTGATGATGTCTCGTGGGTACTCAACCCGCTGATTGTTTTTGGTCATAAGACACCGAATGCTGTACAAACCTGCAAGAAACTTTTTGTGTGGCCAAAATCTTGCACTAAAATTTTACAAAGGGTCTCTCTATTAACACCAGATTCATCTGCCATTATCCTGACAGTAAAATAGCGATCTTGTATCCATTCTGTGACTTTTGCAATGAGTTTATTGTTACAAACACAAATTGGGCATCCAGGTCTAGTTGCTTTAGTAAGCATTTCTACGCCACTTTTAAATCGTGAATACTACCTGAAAATCTGTACACCAGATAAACAATATCCCCATAAACTTGTCGGATCAATTCAACTGTCTCAGTGGTGCTTTTTTTAAAATAGTTTTAAACAGAATTTAATGTTAGCTTTTTGATCCATGCTGATTTCGTAACAATGCACATCTAACTAAGTCAGTAAAATAGTGGCTTGTTTGTCGTCTGCTTATCAGGGGCGATGCAAAGTTGCCAGATCATAGATAAAGGTTGCCTTTTTTTGATTTTATGCGTTGCTTCATAGGTGGCACTTTTGTCTTGGCCGTAATAAAATCGGTCTCATTACCTAATTGTCGGACCTTGTATGTCAACGATCTGGACTCCTTTCGGCTTTCTCCACACCGTGTCATACTTCTTCTACTTGAAGAGCCTTCCCTCATCTTGGTTGGCTGGGTTTTAACTTACTTCTCCTTTTGACTTATCCATGGTTGATTAGTTTTTGTGGCTATTGTTTTTAAAGGAGCCAACCTCAAGTCCAACCCTACCCTTAGTTGCCTATAATGACATGCCTGGTAGGATGCAGTCACTATTCTTTGCTTCCTATGAGGCCCCGGTGACACACAGGCAATAGGACATTTTACAGCCTCATTTGTGCGCTGGCATCCTCGTCCCTTGGCCTACAGGTGTAGTCCCTTTGGGTCCCATCCAGGTCAGCTGTTTATAGACAGGATTGACCCTCTGGGAGAAAACAGGTGCAAAATATACCAAAACATCCCATTTCTGCTGGAATTTGTTGGCTTATCCTAGCCGGAGAGAATTTCTGGCCATTGTATCTCTGGAGGCCACTGACTTCTAGATCCTCTGCCCAGCTTAGTTTAGGCCGATATGGTCATAATCTGTGACTCATATCAAGGAGGTTGGCAGGAGTCTTTCACAACGATTTGTAAAACCAGCACAGAGCCTGCTGCACCCAAGATGAGGTAAGGATTTACCTCCTAATACCCATCACAAGGTCCTTAACTTTCACTAATGCCTGTGATCAAAATTACTGTACCACAACATAGTGGTTAGTATTTTTCCTTCCCATAACTAAGTAAATGAATGACCTTTTTGCGCCAATTGTCGCCTCAGGGAATATAAAGCTAGAATAATTTTTTTTATATATAGACCACTCACTTGGTGATTGTTTTGGTAAACATTTTGGCTACTTTTACTTCCCATTTTGTTTGTTTACCTCAGCCAGGGTCAGTTAATCATCAGCAAAGGCAGGATAATTTTTTGCTCTGATCTGTTGAGTGATGAGGTTGATGCGACTTCTTTAGGGATACCAAACAGTGTTCAGAGTTTTCTGGAACTAGACATAGAAGGAAAAGCCACAAGGATTAGAACTGGTTACCCTACCTTGTAAGTCACAACCTAGAATATGTAAAGACCTAGTGCTTAAAACTACAACAGTAACTGGTGTGGAACTGACTTAACCTTTCATATTTATGTGTATTTTTCTCTCTCTCTCTCTCTCTCTCCAAAACCTCAGCCTTTAGGAGAAACGTTCAGAAGGCAGATAACAAAAGCAGTACAGAATTTAACAGCACAGAATTCTACATCTACAGAGATGGTAGAGGGGGAGATGACTGTTAGCCAGTCCCAAGTAAGTCGGCAAAAATGGTTAAATTCACAGTCAAATTGTGGACCTAAATGTTGATTGTTGAATTAGGAATCAACATCATAGCACTCTGGGCAATCCTATAAATGCTCAATCCCCATCTTTAGCAGCAAGTGAAGAGTTCAAGTTCCAGTGGTACAAGTAACTGTCTTATTGTACATCTCTCTCGCCTTTCCTTTGAGTGTTCAGTGTTGGCAGATCCCCTGGTAACTCCCAGCAGTGCCATTCTCTTCAGACCATAATTGGTGCAGAACCGGCCAGCCTATCTGTCTGCTCATTGCTCAACACACCAGCATCCCCTGGAGAAAACATCCTAAGGAGGCTAACTACCCAGGACCTCTGAAGCGATGCTTGTCACTCTGTGCCTTTCTCCACTTTTCTCAAAATACTTTGTGAGTCAGTTACAATTGCATTGTGTATTGTGGACCCATGAAATGATTGCCTTTTGTGTAGATTGTCAGCTGTGTTATAAGACTTTGCTAGGGTTTATAGCTTTCTTATTGACCACTTTAATGGCTTCTTAAAATAATGATTTCTTAAATGTTAAATATTTCATTTCATAAAACGTATTTATTATTTGACTCTGTCTAATTTTTTTTCTATTACACCTTTTATTTGATCATTATCGAATTGTATGCAGTGGGTGAACAGCAACTTTAGATATATAACAGTTAATTTTAGCTAATGACACAGCGCACAACCTGCTAGGCTAAGGCAGTAGAACCAGCCATTTGTGAATGCAAATCATCATCATGTAGCAGTTCCTTTGCAGATCTGATCTTTCATTTTTTTCCACCGCAAATTCATTATTTTACAAGTTTTCCTGCAGCATGCATTTTCATGTTCAGGGTGTGGTTTCTTTATTTATCTTGCCTCAAGACCATGCAGCCCTACAAAACACTTGTGAAAAACTTAGTTGAATAGCCCTGTTCTGTAGTGTCTCTATTCTCCAACCAGCACAGTTCTGGAGCTAACCCAGCCATGTCATAATGGAAATTAGATCATTTCTAAAATTTTCTGGAAATCGTCAGGGAAGAAAAAACAACTAGGAAGGGAACTCTCCACCACATATCATAGTTCATTGTCTAGAATAATGAAAACGCTTTACATTTCACACATGCCAGTGGCAGTATTGTTATACAATAATATTACTGACATTTACCTTTGTAGGCTCGGGGGCTGTATTTTTTGTGGGGGGGGGGGGGGGGGAGAGAACGCACACCACCACCCATCCTAACAAACATGTTGCAAAAGGTGAATAATGAATGATATGCTAAAATCAGATGTGTTGGGGCCAAAAGCACAGATATTGCATCCTAGCTGTAAACTGCAACACAGCGTACCAACTACCTTTTTAAGGACATGCACAGAAAGAGAAGTTATGACAGTATTTGACGAGACTGGTGTAGGTTAACAGTTGGAGTTTATCAAGACAAGTAGAATGAAAAAAATAATTAAAGTGACATAAGAAAAAGTTTTATCTTCATGCTTCTGTAGCCGGAGCAACTAGCCCCTCTTCATGGAGTTGTGATTGCTGTAGCCAAGAAACTGGGACACAACCATGAGCAGTACAACAGTATTGTTGTGGAACTTGGTGGCAACTATTCGTGGCATAATGGGCCTCATGTCACCCACTTTGTCTTTCAGGTAAGATATTTTTTGTATATATTATTGTTTGTATATTCTGATTTTTTTTTCTAGTGTAATTTGTGATTTCTGAGATGGTTATTGTTTTGTTGTTTCCAAGGTTTAGCTGTTTATTCGCTGTAGCTCCGCTCTGTACTTTACTGGGTATTTAGACAGTATGCATACATAGCTTGTGCTTCATGTTGCCACATTCCTTTGTTTGTTTGTTTGTTTCATCTCAAGTCGCTGATATTTGTGCTGTGCCATCCTCACAAAACCCATACATAAGCTTTTTTAACCTTTTTCCCCTTGGACAGTCCCTGACAAGCCTAGTTAACTTTATTGATTCATTTTGCACATATGCAGTATTTAGTAGGCCCAGATACAATTATATTTACGGAAACAGCTTGGGGGGTGGGGGGGGGGTGGAAAAGGGGGGGGGGGTCAGGAGAGAGAATTAAATTGTGTAAAAATCCTTTTTTTTCTTCTTCAGTAGTCATTTTGATGTCACAATTTACCTTTAGCGATCGCATAGCATAAGGTGACGGTATGTCACAGTTTTTTAGACCCAAGGGATTGTCTTCCATTTAATTCTCCACTCTATGTTTATTGACTACCTCCCTTCATATATTTATGTTTTAAAAAAAAAAGTTTAAATATATATAAATTAGTGTAGAAAAATGTATTACTTGAAGTGTGTAAAAGGTTTATTTTCTTAGTTAAAAATGTTTTTCTCTCTCTGGATTCCTGGGTTCAGCCCCGCCCCCTTCCCCCCAATTGTCCATGGTAAAAGGGTCATTTTACTCAGGCATGGTAACATTTATGTCGTATATTGTATAAGACTGACATCAGACAGGGGGCCACAGAGAACATTGTTATATGGTAACAGAGCCAGAGGTCGACCACGCAGAACATAGACCACATACAGAAATATCAGTGACAATGAAGAGTATACGAAACAAACAGAAGTTCCTGTTCTATTGATCTCTTCCTGCCCTGATTCTGCGAGGCATGCCAGGAGCCGAGAAAAAAAGAAGAAGAAGATGTACATTGTTCTGTGCACTTCTGAGAAATGTAGATGTGTTTTTCTATGCAGGGCAGACCAAATGATACTAACAAAGAGTTCAGAAAGGCAAGAGATGAAGGGAAAACTGTTGTTTCACCTTACTGGCTTTTTATTGTGAGTATGATTTTTAATTCATTGTTTCTCATCCTGGTGCACTAGCTAAGTTGATTAAACCAGCTACGCAGCGACCGGCTGACACTCCTTGTGATCTGAGTTTACGCTCAGGGGTAGGCCGAAAAGCCACCTATTTGCTAGATTTATGGCATCTATCATGGAATCAAGGCTGAAGGGTTGCGATATCCATACATAGTACAGAGCCAAAGGGTTTACAACATGGTGTCTGGCTTTTTTTAAAAAAAGCATCTAAACATTTTACTATAACTGTATAGAATAAACATCAAGCGCTTTCCGCACAACACTGCAAACAACAAGAACAAAACGAAAGTATGTATCTTTCTTCCGGCAACGAAGGGATGTGTGAATCATAGACCAGTTTTAGAAGGGGAAAAATGTGAGGCATTTGAACTAACATTCTCAAAAATTTTGAGAAAATACTAATATTTTAGCAGATCTGAACATCAGAGTCAGCTCTCTCATAATCATCGTCCTGCCTTGGAAATTTGTGTTTTTTGAATTTCTTCTTCCAAGAGAACTGTCTGTAAGTTTAACATCTCATGGATGAGAATCAGACAAACACAAACCCCAGAAACTCCATTCAGTCTGTCAGTAGGGTTAACATCTCATGGATGAGAATCAGACAAACACAAACCCCAGAAACTCCATTCAGTCTGTCTGTAGGGTTAACATCTCATGGATGAGAATCAGACAAACACAAACCCCAGAAACTCCATTCAGTCTGTCTGTAGGGTTAACATCTCATGGATGAGAATCAGACAGACACAAACCCCAGAAACTTTGGCTACGTATCACATGGTTTTTAAATAGACACTAGGGCAAAAAAGGCACTCAAGGCATGAAAATGAGAACTGGTGAAGGATTAAGAATTTTTCCAGCAGTCTTTGATGAGAATATGGCATTTTGTAGAGAATTTGCCATATTATGAACATTATTGGTAAATAACAACCTTAAATATGCTGAAGGCTCACTTTCCTGTCCTGTGACATTACATTGCAAAAAGCAATGTTTTAGATGCGCAAATGTCATTTAAATTTGCTTAGGTTCAGAATCAGCTGTCAAAATATATCCCAACTGTGTCTTGTTTTCATCATCTAGGATTCCAGAGTTGTTGGTACCTTTCTGTCTTTCCAGACGATAGACTAACATCGTGCTATATAGAGGCATGGAAATTACAGCCCCTGATGATGGTGAGCGTGACTGGCAAGACCCTCTGGCATTAAGAAAAGCCTTCCACAATTAAAGCATGGGATTTCAAGATCATTGTTTCCCATGTGGGTTCCGGGGCCCTATTATGGAGAAAACAAGAATAGACCCACTGCCTACCCAAAAAGCATGTCGTAAGAGTCAACTAATTGGGAGCTTCATTCGAAATCGGGGTGCATCTACCTGAGAGGCAAGGAACCAGCAGTCAGCATACAAATTAGTCAGATCTGTAAAACACATGCACACCCAACACACAGGTTCTGGAACAGGACTGCAGTCCAGCAGTGGATAAATTTTTTTCTCAGATGCTGAGATGCAATCATTGTTCTACATTACCCTATCCGCTTCCTGATTTCCCTTCTGCTTGCAACATGGTTATTGAATTCTTTTTTCCATGAATCCACCTCCATTCCTGTTTCATTATCCAAAGTTATTCATCATGTTATCTCTAATCAGTTACTCTAGTATCTCTTCTGTGATCCCACTAGAAGCTTTTCTAGTTTTGATGTCATCTCGTCTGATGTAACCAGTTTAGTTTTAGTTTCTATTAAAACTGAAAATTTGTTTTTCATCTTCATCCTTTTAATCCTCCATTGGAGCATAGTCTTACAACTATCTGACAATATATATATATATTATATTTATATAATATTATATATATTTGTTTATATATTTGGGGGGGGGGGGGGGGGGGGGAATCAGGATGAATACATTTTAATAATGTGTTGTTTCCTGTGTTTAAAAAAACATTTTTTTTGAAGAAAAAAGAATTGTTGTTTGAAAATTCCAGTGAGTTCAAAACCCATTTTTAATTTTTGTTTAGCATTGCTGGATAAAAGGGGGTTCTTTTGTAATTTCCTACTTCAGATGATGTCACAAGGCAGTCCAAGATTTTAGAGAGTGGTAAGATTGGGTTTCCCGGCTTTTTGATGCTTTTAATGACCCCAAAACATCTACAACTGGCTCTAACCCCAACCCACCTATGTCCCACGAGACAGTGCAGCCTAGGTCCCACGACTGCATACAGCCTAGGTCGCACCACTTCATGCAGCATATCTACCACCCCCTGAAATATTTGACTGTCCTATGACCTGTGGATTTCCCCTGTTTGGGGTAGGATATTAAGAAAGGACCTAAAAGGGTCAATGATGAGTATTGTTCTTGTTGTCACATGATCTTTTCTGATCATTTATGTATGGTTTATATAATTTTCAATACAGAGATTATATTTGTGCATTGTAATATTACATTTTCTGTCTGATATACACAGTGTAAAGAACAAAACTGCAGAGTGGATGAGAGCTTATTTCCACATAACTACAACCCAAATTTCAGTTTGGTGGGTAATTCATTTTAAATTCTTCTGCTTTTTTCCCCACAACCTCCACCCTTCTCCTTGTGTCCTTTCTTCTCCTCCTCCCCTTCTTTCTTCTCCTTCTCCCCTTCTTCCTCTTCCTCCTCCTTCTTCTTCTTCCTCCTCTCCACCCCCTTGTTCTCTCCACCCATTTTTTTCTCAGATATTTCAGCAGATATCACCTACCGCCACCTCCATTCACATCTGTTTTTAGCTTTCTCTTTCCACTTGGTGACTCGAAAGGTTTGTAGGTATGCCTGTAGAATATATCTGCTTCTTCATGGAAAGAAATAGAGAAAGAGAGGGAGGTTGAAAAAAATTAAAGAACAAATCAACGTTATTTCGAAGGTTTCATATGTTAATTCTTTTATACAACTTTTAATATATAAATCTTAAACAACATAAACAATAGTAAATAAATTAAAAACAGAAAATATGCAAGAATTAAACAGTTTTGCCTTAGATATATGAGCATTTGTTATTAAATAGTAGAACAGTGCATCCATGGATTACTTACTTTGTTCATCAGAAAATATGTGCCCCACCATTTTGGTTCATATACATACTTTCTATCCAGAAGTGCGCTTGACACTGTTTTGTTATTTTATAAAAGTAGAAGAGGACTTTTTTCTTTGCCTTTCATAGACTAGTTGATAGATGGTGTAAGTATCAAACCAGTCACCTTTACTTGCAAGGAGTAAAAAAGCAGAACTTCCCGTCTAATTTGGAGGACTAGGCATGGCAGAATGTTTAGCTTTAAAGTTATTTTTGCTTCTGACAGCACTTTGCTAATGCAGTTTCCACATATGTAAGGAAGACTATGGTTTCGCTGCCTGAGCTACTGAGTTTAGTGCTTGGTGCAGAACAGTGAGCTGTGTTTTTCGTGGGGAATGCCTTTCATTTGTTAAGTAGTTGACTCATGGTATTCAATATGGCAGGCAGCCAGTTTATGTATGGGCTGGTGAAATACCTAATTTTACGTGTGTATAGCGAACTTATTGTGTACGACTACTATTTCATTAACGGCAAACTGATTTCTGGTGGCGACTGTTATGTTTGGTGCCTCTAGCAGCTGCCATATGCATATACTGCATGCGCATATTTCTTGCCTGTGCTGGGACTAATTGTTAGTTCATTAATTTTCAACATGGGACAGCAAGGGACATTTCATTTGATTTTCACTGGCACAGGGACAGAGCAAGCATGGGGTGACCCGATTGCAATGAAGTTGAAACCTCGACTAAGACTGAAACTAAAAGAACAGGGATAAAAAAAAAAAAAAAAAAGAATCTGCTGCCTTTTAACAAATGTAAAAGGTAACTACGTGAGGGTTTACTGAAATCAGATGTTCTGAGCCGAAATGTGCAGATATGACAGCCTGCCTGTTAAACCACAACACAACATGCTAACTGCCTTTTTCAGAGCAAACTCAGAAAAAGGGAAAATAGAATATCCCTGTGGAAAGAAGAAACTAGTTAATTAAATGTGAGATGAAGCTGCTCTTTTACAGTTTATTTCTAATCAACAGACAATGACTCCATCAAGTAAATTGACGCCATCAAGAAGTTCCAGAGCTGCCCTAAGAAACCGTGTTCAGCTAGAAGCTTCTGCAAAATCATTGGCAGTAACTGGCAAGACACCAAATAGAAAGATGCCCGCTTTAAATCTTCAGAAAATTGCTGCAAAGGATAGTGAAATAAAAACTTCCAAAGTGGTAAATTCTGATGAAAGCACTTCACCAACTGACCAAAGTAATGCAAAGTAAGAAAGCTTATAATACGTTAGATTTCTAGCCTTAAATTTTTTTAGTTGAACACTTTTTTTTCGGCTTCCTTTGCTAGACTGAAAAAGTGTATTGTTTGAACCAGATAGATTAGATATCTAAAAAAAAAAAAAATCGAGCATTATTGAATATTTTATGATAATTGAAACAAAGAGTATATATATATGTTATCTTTTTTTTTTTCTTTTGACATTCAGTAGTCTTGTGTAATAGTTAGCGGACTCAACTTCAGTATAGGGGTCTTGGTTGCAGTAATCAGATCTGGCATGATAATTTTTAATCAATATTTTTCACAATTTAAAAAAAAAAATGAATGATAATTAAACGGAAGGTAATAAAGAAGGTGAGTGAAGAAAAGTAAAAGACAGTGTTTACAGGGCCAACAGGAGAAGCAGAATTATCAGAGCAAAGGTAAACACCATCACAAGGGAATTAGAAGAAACTAAAATCAACCATGTGGCTAATCACAAATAGAAATGGGTAAATTCTCAGCTCATTAAAGATTAATGCACTGTATTAATGCACTTCTTGCCAATCATGTGCTGCCAATTCCAGATCTGGACAGTGACAACAACAACAACAAAATTACAGCTAAAATGAGATTCCTAAGAAGGATTCCTAATATAACAAAAAGAGATAAGATCAGGAATTCTGAAATCTGAAAGAGTCTGCGGGTAACAGCAGCTCTGGATTTCATTAGGAGACAACAGGTGAAATGGTTTAGCCATATAATGGGGATGTCAACAATCAGTATACTGTAGCAAGCAATGATGTACTGACCAATCGGGCAGCGAAGAAGAGGTTGATGATGCAGAGTCCCTGGAAATCCCCATTAATAAAGCAGGCACTTTCCCATAAATTGCACTTCAGCTTGACACCGCAAGTTACCAGAGGAGCAAGGTGAGATGAAATGAAAGATACAATAAATGGGTGAGATACATACTTTAAAATGCTTCTTAATAGACCAGCCCCAAAAGAACATGAAGAATTAGAACTGGATATCAACTGAGAGACTATCCAAGAGAAAATAAGTAAGGCTACAACTGCCTGAAAGATGGTAAAAGGGCTCGTCCAGATAATCTACCAGCAGAAGCTATTTAAGCTAGCTTCTTCTTCTTCGCGTTTACCAGCTGTAAACTCTGCCGCAAAGTTCTGGTTGTTAGTCCACTTCTGGACTGCAGCCCTGTTCCAGAACCTGAGTGTTGCGTGTGCATCCATTTGACAGATCTTAATAATTTGTATGCAGACAGCTGGTTCCTTGCCTTTCAGGCAGATGCACTCAGACTTCGAATGAAGTTCCCAATCAGTCGACTCTTACGTCATGCTTTTGGGTAGGCAGTGGATCTATTCTTATTTTCCCTATAAAAAGGCCTCGGAACCCACACGGGGAATTAAATCTAGCATAAACAGGTCAGTTAAAATTACCACACAAATTATTTAGCAGTTTAAGTTACCAAAATGAAGATCTTTTCAAGATGGTATTGGTCTACTAGAAGTAGCCAACTCAGCTCAGTGATAAGAGCAATATTAAAAGAGTTATAGCTACTTATTCTTTACAGAAGGTTGCAGAACCAACCCCAGCATTGGCTGTTGTAGTTTTTCTGGGCAAATGTATGTCCAGTAGTTTGCCATTGCTTTCTTGACGGTCGGCTTCTTGATGCCACTGTCGAAACCAACACAAGGCCCACAGCTGGGATCGAACCCGGCATTACTAAGCACATGCTCAGCACCTAAACCACAGATGCCGAGGACAATATTATATAAAATAACAATATAAAGTGTTTTTATATTCATATTCCTAATAAACGTATGATTATTTACAGAAATGACATTTCTGAACCAACGCGAACATCTGGAGAAGACTGCACGGAGGATGAAACTGTTTCTGATGAGGTAAATATATTTCTTCTTACTGTTTTGCACAGTAAAGTTTCAGTTTTTGTTGGATTATGCCATAACTCTTTTTCTCTCATCATCCTTTGTGCAGATTGCATTTTTTGTCGAAATAAGGCTTTCAGAACATAGCGCTTGTATGTGTATACATTTACACACTGAGTGGGTACCGAGTGCAGTCCAGGGAAGTAGAGGCGGCCGGCGTGATGCTGACCACATAGCCCATCTTGTGCCGATTGGTCTATAAAATATAGGTCTAGCCTTATATGCCTTATACGCTTAAAGGTGTGGAAAGGGGTCCTTTACTTTTACTTTTTACATTCACACACTCATTTGCATATAGTGAATCTTATTATAATTTGTTCTGAGTCGTGCGAGTATTGTTACAATGTGCTTGAGAAAATCGATCATTATTTTTCGTGTGTTTCATAAAAGCTTTGGACAGAGTGAAACATGAAGAAATAATCACATGACTAGACAGTTTGATGGCCAAAATGTCCAGGAGATTCAGATGTTCGAGGTAACAAGCAGGCTGACAGTTTCGCTGCTGCAGCTCCTCTGGGCAATGAGCTAGTATATTATAAAGCGGATGTGGTGAAGGCTCTCTGGGATCACAGGGACAGTGCAAAATAACAGATAGGAAATCCATACACGTAGAAGTCCTGGAAGATATTTAACACTTCCAATAGGGTGGACAGGCATTTAATTTTGAAGTTATTTTTGCTAATGCAGTTCTCCATATGGGCTGGAGTCTATGGTTTCACTGTCTAAGCTACAGTGAGTTAGGTGCTTGGTGCAGCACTGTGAGCTGTATAATTTGTGTAGGAGGCTTTTATTTTTGTCCGCAGCAGTTGTGACATAATTCTAAAAAAATTGTGAGTGCGGGTTTGCTTTTGGGCTGGCGAAATACCTTATTAATAATTGTGTATGTGTGTGGCCAGCGAGTTGTAACTGACTATCTACTTCTATCAGCAACTAATTGCAATTCTGGGGGTGACTGAACGTGTTGGCACCTCTAGCAGCAGCCTCATGTATCTACCTTGTTTCTGGATTTTGTCAGAACTAATTGTTTATTCACTGCTTTTCAAATTGGACAGTGAGGGACATTTCTTGTGACTTTCACTGGCATGGGAACAGGATAACTATTCAGCTACCTGTTTGCAGTGAAGTTAAAATCTCAATCAGCCCCGACTACCAGAACTTCACTTTATACTATTCACGACACTCATTATTAGGGGTACTTTTTGTCACATATGCATGTCACTTGCTGTTGTGTGTGTGAGCATGCATGTGCAGGTGGCAGAGAAGTTGGTCATCTGTGGAACTGATCAAGAATAAAGAAGACTAAATGCTGTGGATAAAATTAATCGTCGGCCCGTCAGGCTTTCCACAGGGAAGATATTGGAGATGATGATTTCTTTATGTTAATTTGCAGTAACATTTTTTTACGACTGTAAAGGGATGAACATCAGGTGTTCTGCAGTTCTGCCGACTTGCCCCTTCGGCATATACAATGTTTACCAAAAGGTCTGTTCTAGTAGCTTACAAATTAACAGTTCCCCAATTAAATCTAGACCTTCCAGCTGTTTCATGCATTGTAGTGGTTCTTTCTTTCCTGTCCTTCTTGGCCACATTTCCCAGTCTCTGATGAATTTATATAAGCTTTGTAATGCTGGAGTCCCAGGTTCACTCCCAGCTGTGGTTTGTCATTTGTCTTGCATTGGTTTCAACAGTGGTACAGAAAGCTTACCGTGCAGAGATCAGTGGCAAACTACTGAATGTAAAATTTGCATAGAAAAACCACAACAGCCAACAAATGCTAGGGTTAGTTCTGCAACGTCCTGTAAAGGATACGCAACTAACTAACTATATACATATATACTTTTTGCTTGCTATAAAATGAATTTAGGAAAGCATTTTCATGACAGTATTTCATTATTTGAGATGACCCCACTGCTCGCTTTGTTATGTAATTTATGAAACCAGTAACTAACCTAGATACTATACAGATGTCTAATCTTGCAATGTATATCTCTCGGATAGGAATTTGCAGGCAGAGGCAAGAAAAAGGAAATCAAAGAAGCTCTTAGCAAAACTCTAGGCAATATTGTTGCAGAAGCCTCAAAGTATGTATAGCAACCGCCCCCTCCACACACGCACGCACGCACGCACACTCACACACACACACAAGCCCCATCTTTTTGTTGATACATCTGTGTGTATATATGTAAGAGCAGCTATAAGAAAAAAGACAAGCACTGTTCTTTGGTTTTGTGGTGAGTGGGAGGCTTTGGAGAAGATTTTGATGACTGGAAAGATCCGTGGCAGAAGAGGGAGAGTCAGACCAAGAGAGATGATGATGGATGGATTGCATTGGTGGCACGGAGGAATAACATCAGTGGAACTGATCCAGAGGACAAAGGACTTAGATCTGTAGAGATGTATGAACGCCTACGCCAGTCTGCAGGGCACATGATGACAATGATAAAAGAACAGCAAACACAAAAACTGTGCCTTTCCTCTGAATGTAGAGCGTTGGTCAGATTTGCTGGTCGCTGAACTATTTTCTGCACATTGCATTGAACTATTCACTCTGCTGCATTGTTCACTTGCCGCCATAGAACTTTAAACACTTTAAGCTTATCTGTTCACCACTTGGTGGTGCAGCACCAGTCAGTCTGCCTGTTCCTTTTCCAACACACCTGCTTGCAATGAAGAATATATCCGAAGGATGCAATCTGCCAGGGACCTATGAAATAGTGCTTTGTGTGTTTGCAGTACATATCTTTCAGCCTGATATAAACATTTGCATGCCACACTGTAGTCCATTTAGAAACTCTTTTTATTATTAAACATGTTATTATTCAACAACTATTTGATTAAAGTTGCTGAAATATTTATAGTTACATATAATCATTATGTCAGTATAATCATTATTGTTGGTGACCTCTGGCATCTGGTTTGCATTTTGAATGTTGAATTAAGAATCAACATCATGGCCCTCAGGAGACTCCCATAAGTGCTCCGTCCCTATCTTCAGCGGCAAGCGAAGAGTTCCCATTCCGATGGTACCAGTAACCGTCTAACTGTACATTCATCTCGCCTTTTCCCCTTGAGTGTTAGCATCGGCCAGATCCCCTGGTAACCCCTTACAGTGCCATTCTCAGACCATAATAATCTGTTTGTGCCTCCACACTGTTCACTCGCTCCCAAAGGGCCCTAACAACATCTAGCTTTTCATATATCAGTTCACCAACTGGCAGTTTATCTGCCTGCTCTTTTTCCAACACACCAGCAGGACATGGAGAAAATATCCAGTCAAGGCTAACTACCCGGGAACTTTGAAGCGATGCTTGTCATTCTGCAGTGAGCATGCCTGTCTCCACCTTTCTCAGCATACTCTGTGAATCAATTACGACATGTGTACAGCTGATTCTCAGTCCAGCAAAAGGCAGCAGTGACTGCCTCCACCTCTAATCTCAAACTAAATGTTGTCATATTATTGCATTTTGATTGATTTGTGATATACACAAACTATGACATATAACCATGAGTCACTCATGGTGTTCACAGCTGGTGAATGCTAAAAAGTAGAAAAGACGATTATCACACAACATTAGCCACTTATAAAAATGTGATCATTTCTTTTGAATTGTTTACTGTACCCCTCCTAAGAATCGTTTAAATTTAAAAAAAAAATATTATCTGTGATTTGTAGCCCATTGTCATCTCATTTATTTTCAGAACTCAGGCATCAGGGAAAAGGAAGGCAAAAGTAACAAGATGTAAGTCTTCTGTAGACCTATTAGATGCTTACTGTAAATTATTTTTTCCCCTTATTCTTTTACCAAAGTTTTTTAAAATGTCAGACTGGGGTGTCAAAATCAGCATTTCTAGTTTGTTTTGAAAATTGTGGAATATATAGAAACATTCTTGAAAGATATATACAGTTCAAGTCCTGACGAAGCCAGACTTTAAAAAAAAAAACCTTGGCTTGGTTGGTCGACCCAACCTTGAGTGTGTACCAGATATAGTCCTGGAAGTAAAGGGGGCCAGAATGTTTCTGACCACATCACCCACCTAGTGAGGATTGGTCTGTAAAATATAGATCTAGATCTATATGTCCAGTACGCCTGAAGGCTCGGCAAAGGGTCCTTTACTTTTTCTTTATGTATAACCTCATGAACATGCATTCCAAGGGGCAGGAAGTCTAGTTTGCTTTTTTAAGGTTTTTTTTTAACAGGAGACTAATAATATTTCATTCCTGTTGGGACCGCAGTCTTGTTCTTAAGTGAGTTTGTATTAACAGGATTTTACTAAATGTGGGTGCGAGTGTCTGTGTGTGTGCACACAAGTGCATGAGAGATAGAGAAGTGGAAGCGATAGTAAGAGAGAGAGAGATAGAGAGAGAGAGAGAGAGAGAGAGAGAGAGAGAGAGAGAGAGAGAGAGAGAGAGAGAGAGAGAGAGAAAGAAATTATGGAAGTGATAGTGTGAATTATTGAAAGACAGAGAATGAAGTGGTTTGGCCATTTAGTAAGAATGCAACCGGATCAGATTGCCTATAAGGCCTTTTACAGTAGAACATCAGGAAGAAAGGCCAGAGGAAGACCCAGGAAAAAATGGACAGATGGAGTAGTTGAATACGGCCAGAAGATCCAGAAAACTGTCACTCAAATCACGCGAGAAGCACAAAACAAATATTTTAAACCACGACACTGGGCTGCAACCCGGTAAAAGTGAAGAAGACAGACAGATAGATAGACAGATAGATAGATAGTTAGGTAGGTAGGTAGGTAGGTAGGTAGGTAGGTAGGTAGGTAGGTAGGTAGGTAGGTAGATAGATAGATAGATAGATAGATAGATAGATAGATAGATAGATAGATAGATAGATAGATAGATAGATAGATAGATAGATAGTGTGAATGAGAGATAAAATATTGATGTTATTGAGAGAGAGAGAAAGATGAGAGAAGAAAATGTGGAAGTTGAGAGAGAGAGAATATGAGTGAAAGGGAGAGAATGTATCATAGTGGCTAAGAAGTATGGTAAAGTAAAGGACCCTTTTCCACACCTTGAGGCATATTGGGCATATAATGGTCTATTGTATAACCTATATTTTATGAATCAGTGAGTGCTCGGTGGGTGATGTCATCAGCTTCATGCTGGCCACCTTTACTTCCCAGGACTTGACCTGGTACCCATTTAAGGCAGGGTCAACCTGGGAGCCAAGATCATTAAAAAAAAAACATTATGCTCAGTCTAGACTTGAACCCAAGACCCTAGAATCCACAGTTGAGTGTCTAGCCTCTACAGCATGGTGACTGCCTTAGAAGTATGTTGTCTGTCTTCAGAAAGGACTGGGTTCAAATGCTGTTGAAAACATTATCCTCTATGTTTCTGATAAACTTGATGTTGTTTAGCTTTCTTCTGATCTTTGAGAGGTTGATGCCTTGCCTCCTTGGTCAGTGGTAAAACACAGAAGATCCCAAATACAGGTTGTGATTGTGCTAGAGGATTAGACTAGTAATTCCCACTAAACGACAACAGCTAACAGAAGCCCACTTCAAGCCTCAGAAATGAGATATCTGTGAAAGTTAGTCCAAGTGACAAGAAGGGACAAAGTTCGCAAGCAGACAATAAGTCAGGATTTTGAAACTCAGGCCTTACGAACTCGAGTGGATCAGTCACAGTAACAAAGGTTTGGACATGTATGCAGAATGGAAAAGAATCATCCGCTATGGTAGGCAAAGGAGGCCAAGTACCAGAAAACCAGACCACCAGGACCACCAGGGTTCACTTGGAAGACACGATCCAACAGAGCCTGACTGAGAACTTGAATGGAATAAGACCAAAAAGACAACTGCAGATAGAGAAGTATGGCAGTCTCTCAGGCGAACCTCTACACCCCAGGGTGGAAGAGGAGTGTCCAAGTAAATACCCACTAAGCTATGAACTGTGGACCCTCTTACTTTCAAAGGTCTGGTATGGACCCAAACTTTTTAATTGTTGTGCTTAAGTTTCTATTGTAATTTATAAATATTAGAATAGCAAAAACAATTGTATTTTAAAGTGGAAGGGGGGGGGGGGGGTGGAGGGGAGAATGGCCCCATTAAACGCATGCTAAGCAAATCATAAGAGATATAAAAAATGTGTGTTGAAATTAGATTGGCTGTCTTATTCCATAGTTAATGCCTATATTAGAGAGAGTTTGTTGTCTTGGTTGTGTGTGTGACAGCATGGCCCCCTTAAATGTGTTCAAGCAACCAAATAGAACAGACAGATTTGACCATTTATACTGTCACACTCTCCTCTTTGGTCTGAAATGAAAGCAAAGAATGGTTACACGAACATGCCAAGCATATCATAAGAGAAAAAAAAAAATATGTGTTGAAATTAGATTGGCTACCTTATTCCATTAAAAGTGTCTGTAAAATCTAACAAATCATCAATGTGTCTGCAAATATTGAGACAATCATTTTCAGTGCACTTGTTATTGGATGCAGTAGTTAGTTTACTGGTTTAACCGTTCAGTGGTCTGGGTGGTTAAATCTGTTAAAAAATTACGAGTACCATATATTTTTTCTCAAAAATGTAGTTGTAATGTGGCCACATTTTGGCGATTATTTAGAGTTTCTTTTGACCCAGAACGCATCTGCCTTTGATGCGAAAAACTAACAGTCTGTTTACAGATCAGCCAGATTTAATTTGCACACAAAACTCAAGTTCTGGAACAAATCCAAAGTCCAGAAGTGGACGAACAACCAGAACTTTGCGCTGAGGTTTACAGCTGAAAGCCTAGAAGAAAAAGAGAGACTGAGCCCTTGTATGCTGGTCGGTCACCTTAACTGTGGACCAGTTCGTGCATCCTGTGCCCTAATCATAGGATAAATGGGATGTCCTTACTTTTTAAAATTGTTATATTTATTTAAATTCATTAATACAAAGTAATGTGTTTTTGATTTCAGTGAGTGGTCAGTTAAATACATCTGAAGGTAACACATCACAAAACAGCATTCCACGAACTGGAATTACTGGGCAAGGCAGCAAAGGTTTGAATTAAATTAATAAATATTATAATTTTTTATTAACTCATGATTCTGTAAAAGAAGGCAGCAGCAGTACAGGCTAGCACAATTGCCCTCCAACCTTCTTGTCATGTGTTTGAATCTCCATTGAGACTTATTACTATTGACCTTAACTCAGCCTAAGTATGTTTACCAGGAAAAGTTCAGGAAGTAAAGGTGGTTTGCATGATAGTTACCATTATACATATCAAGTGCTGTTTGGTTTAAAATAATATGGGGTCAGCACTGTAGACCGAGTCTGCTTCAAGGTGTTGTTTTTGTCTCCCCCCTCCATGGGGGTTCTAGATCCCTATTATGTGTGTGTGTTGGGGGGGAGGGGGAGGTAGACCCATTTCCTCCCTAACACGAAGTGGATGAACAACCAGAACTTTCTGTCGGAGTTTCATCCAGTGAACATGAAAAAGAAGAATGCGTTTCTTGTCTTTCTTTCTGTCTTTTTTTTTTTTAAACTGCAGAACATCTTCCTCTTTGTGTTCACTGGCTGTAAACGAGCGAAAGGTTCTTGTTGTTCGTCCACCTCCAGAATTTAATCGTGTTCCAGAACCGGAGTGTTACTGGAACATTGATTTTACAGATCTGGCTTATCTTTGCCTCTCCGGCAGATGCACTTTTAAGGATACCCCCAATTAGTCGGCTCCTAGGACATGCTTGTTGGGGAGTCAGTGGGTCTAGTCTTGTTTTTCCCACAGTGGGACCCTGGAACCCACATGGGAAAGTAACCGCAGAACAAACTTATAGAAGCCTAATTTAGAAAGAAGTACATCAAAAGCAGAGATAGATTATTTGTAACATGATGTTCTCATCTCTTTCCAGATCCTCCAGTTTTTAGACCATCTCATTAGCCTGTTGTTTCAAATCTGCTCCTAAGCAGAAGCACGAAGCCTTTACATGCCTTGATCACCTCCTAGTCAGCTTAATTTTGTACTGACATTACAATGTCGTCAGCATTTTCTAGGCAATATGAATATTCATATGTATTATTTTTTCTTACTCTCATCTTACACTTGAGATTATATTAACATTATTACAACTACTATTTCAGAGTTATAAATGACTAGCATTTAAATGATCTTACAAATGTTGATTCATTTTTAAGCATATGCCACATGTTTACTAGTCTCTGTACATTTCTTGCCTTCAATTAATGAGGGCCAGGGTTGAGTCGAGAACCAACATTAAAACATTTTAGACATTCTCATAAGCGCTTCATCCCCATCTTCAGCAGCCAGTGGAGATTTCCATTTCCCATGAAACAAATAGCGCTCTTTTTAATTGCACATCTTGCCTTTTCTTCAAGTGTTCAGTTTCAGCAAACCCCTTTCACACTACACCTTTCTCTTCACACCATAATGATGTGCTTGTACTTCTGCATTAAAGCTGCCATTAAAAAGTTGAATGCGGAAGAAGATGATTGTTTACATGTGGATTCAGGGCTAGTTGCTAATCTGACCTTGTAAAACAGGCAGCTTTAAGATTGACATGTTTTACTGAACTACTCATAGTTGAATTCTTCAGAGGGTTTTAAGAGTATCGTGAGTCAGTTTTAATCAGGTACCATCTTACTTTTGGTTGCAAAGGATTTCCAACTATCTCTATCTTTAACCATTGTTGAACAAGCTTTGTGACTGGTGTTTGTCCATCTCTTGATGTTTTCCTCTCGTCAGTAGCGATGTAACAAATTTATCAGTAGATTATGATGAACTGAATAATGGCCACCGATGTTTTCAAGGTTCTTCCTGGCATGTGAGCTCCTGGCTTTTACTAAATCTATTACACATGCTAACATTAGTCCTTCTTCTGCAAATGCCATCATAGGGCAGTTGGCTTGTTGTGTAGTTTTCAGCTGTGCATAAATATCTGTGCCTTTCGACCCAGCACATCCGGTTTCAGCAAATCCCCTAATTGTGCTTATGAAGGATGTCTCGCCACATCATTCACTTATGCTTTTTTTGGGGTGATTTTGTGAAGCTGACTGGTTCTACCTTTCGTTTGATTTGATATCTTTTTATCAGTTTTAAAATATAGTAATGGCCTGACACTGTCAGCAAAGCTGATTTTGGAATTCATATATATCATTGAAGAATTCTCAAGAAAGAATTAATAACTTTTGTTCCAGAACCTCTTTAGAAAAAATGCCAGCATAGTCACAAATTTTGGCTTTAAAAAGACATTGCCCACTTTGATTCAAAAACAAAAATGGCATGAGTGGTTTGAAAATTATCCAATTTTGTTTGAATAATGTCCTAAGTGGATTTTTTGGCATCATCCGGCTTGGTTTGAAAAACCTCCTAGGTAATTTGAAAAAAAATGTCCAGCTTCTTACAAAGTAAAGATCCCTTTTCACACTTTTAAGTGCATCGAGCATGCGGGAAGAGCACCCATATTTTCACAGACCAATCGGCATTAGGTGGGTAATGTGGTCAGCATTACGCCGGCCGTCTTTACTTCCCCAGAACATACATCCTGGTACCCATGCTGGGTCGACTTGCGACGCCCCATACCATAAAAAAATTCATGCAACTAGCAGTGGGTTTTGATTGCGTTGGTATTACGAGTCAGGCTAACGATGCCTAAGCCACAGACGCTGCCAGCTTCTAGTGGAACTTGTATATTTAATATTAATTTTGCAATTCTTTTCACAGAAGCTCCAAATGATGGAGTGTCCGCAGAAGTCATTATTGTTATAGAACCACCTCATAGTGAAAAAGTCACCTGGGAGGATCCAACTGAAAAGTTAGTAGTTTACAGCTCATTACATAAACATGTTTTCTCATTTCTTTCTCTCTCTTCTCCAGATGTCAGCTTGAATATTTTTAAAGAAGGCAACAGTCCCCCTTACCTGGTTCTATGCTCTCCAGCACTATTTTTTTTCCCTCAGTACAGTGGAACCTCAAGATAGAAGTGTCCCTGGATACGAGGTCAGGCTTGCAAAATTTTTTGCCCTAAAACATGAGGCAAAATCCAGGATGCAAGCTGGAGAGACAAGAACTCTTCACGTTACCTGACAGCATCTTGATAACATTTCATAAATAGACTAGGCCATGTTAACACTGATTGGAAAGAGCAGTAGCTGAAGGCATGGTGCTGGTTAAGAGGGGCAGGGGCCGACTGGGAAGAAGATGGACATAGAAAATATGAGACAGCAAGCAGGATAGTTCATGAGATGAGATGGGAGAGCTGGTGAGGGACCAAGTTTCTTTCAGGAGGGCTGTGATGGAAGCAACATTCTGCAAAGGACCTGCTACATCAGGTCTCTAGCCTGAAGGGGGTGACCCCTACAAGTTGGGGCTGGGGAATGGTGGCAAGCTGTAATTCTCATTCTCTTTATATAGCACAAGTTAATAATGTTGTTACGAAAGGCTCTGCATATTACATGTAAATCTCAAATCTAGGTGTGGAAAGTAAGGGGAAAACTAACAGATTCATTTCTCCAGGAATGAGTTGTGGTGCAATGTTATTGTTGAAAACAGTAATGTAGTATAACTTTCATATTTTTATAATAGTAAGAATATTTAAAGAGGAGAAGCTGTCCGGACTGTTAAGAATGTGGGGGGGGGGGGGGGGGGATAAAAATCCTAATCTGAACTATGCAGCCTCAAGTTTTTGTGCTCAAAGTCCTCCCTGCCTACACAGCAAAAGTGGTGGTTTAAAAAAAATAGAATATTTAAAAATAAAAACCATGGCAAAAGGAAACACAGTATTTTAAATATTTCTGAAACTGAAAACTGGCCTCTCGCTACCAGTGATTGGTAATTATGAGAGATGTACTCTGCCATGCATACATGCAGTTTAATTCCATTAAGATATCTTGCTTTGGATTTGTACTGGCACCTTCTTCTTTATCTCTTCACTTTCTCTCTCTCTTTCTCTCTCACTCACTCGCTCACTCACTCACACATATTCTTTCTTTTAGCGTGTATGTATTTTTTCTTTATTCCTAACGTGCCTTATTTTTGTAAACTAGTTTTCTTCCTCCCACTTACTTTAATTTCACATAAGAACAGTATTATGAAGTTTTGTTTGACTAAATACTCCAGCATGTTGAAAGCAAAACTGGCACATCAGCTGGAACTTGTTCAGGAACCAAGTCAGAGCACACAAGATGTGTTAGCAGTTAAGATTCGAGGCGGAAGAGTAGAAGCATTTGAACAGGAAGCAAGAATTTCCACGGTACTATGTTATTATTGTTCACTTATTCAAATATTGTATGTTTCCTATTATTGCAATAATTACAGTAAAGGATCTTTCTCTTCCCAAAGACATATCGTTTATATGGTGCTAAGCCAGTACTTTTTTTGTGTGTAGACCAATTTGCACTCAGTAGGTCAACATCAGTCTGGTCCTCTTTACCTACCAGGACATTTCCTATGCAGATTTTTAATTATTGTCTTTGAGGCTGCCAGATCTGCTCAGTCTAAAAATGGGTGCCATGAAATATCCTGGAGAGTACAGGTGGCCAGCATTATGTTAATGTAGAACCCCAAAGAGGGGCGAATTACAGGCAGATCTGGAGTGAAATAACAAAGGATAAGAAGGTTTATTACATGCTGGTTGAGGTCATAGGCTCCATTTAGGAATAAAAGGCAGAAGAAAAGGCACATCTGACATTCAGAATCCATCGAGGCATTGACAGAAGGTAGATTTTGACTGATTTTTTTGCCTTCAAAATCAACATAGCACACACAAAGCATAAGCACAGTAAAAGTAAAACCAGCAAGGTAGAGGAAGATTTAAAAAAAAAAAAAAACTATATATATATATGTGTGTGTGTGTGTGTGTGTGTGTGTGTGTGTGTGTGTGTGTGTGTGTGTGTGTGTGTGTGTGTGTGTGTGTGTGTGTGTGTGTGTGTGTGTGTGTGTGTGTGTGTGTGTGTGTGTGTGTGTGTGTGTGTGTGTGTGTGTGTGTGTGTGTGTGTGTGTGTGTGTGTGTGTGTGTGTGTGTGTGTGTGTGTGTGTGTGTGTGTGTGTGTGTGTGTGTGTGTGTGTGTGTGTGTGTGTGTGTGTGTGTGTGTGTGTGTGTGTGTGTGTGTGTGTGTGTGTGTGTGTGTGTGTGTGTGTGTGTGTGTGTGTGTGTGTGTGTGTGTGTGTGTGTGTGTGTGTGTGTGTGTGTGTGTGTGTGTGTGTGTGTGTGTGTGTGTGTGTGAGTGTGAGTGAGTGAGTGAGTGAGTGAGTGAGTGAGTGAGTGAGTGAGTGAGAAAAAATACCTGTCCCATGCAGTGCCCGGACTGTAATATCCAACCGATCAAATATTACAAATTTAGACCTTCAGTTTGCCGACTTTCACAGCCACTTAATTGTTTCAGGTTTGTAAAGTTACCAAATAACTTTCCGATTTTGGAAAAAATGGGCTATGATCTAGTGTTTGAAGAGTTTTCTTCTTGAAAACAAATGTGCTGGTACTCACCACAGATTATCAGAAAAATGTTGGAAGTCACCAATAAGGGCCTATTACAGAAGCGTTGAAAAACATGATGTCTTGGGGAAAGAAAAGGTGCTGGTACTGCGTACCATTGTGTAGCGGGAAAAAGCCCTGGGTCTAACACTAAGCACATCTTTACTTATGTCTGTCATGGAATGACCAATACCTTATTACAGATGAAGAAAGCAGATTTAACATGCTCTTATGAAAACTTGTATCATTTTAGGTTAAATCCAGGACCAAGCATTTTGCAGATGACAGATCCCCAACCCCAGAACCTCCTTCATTGGGTAAGTCGCAGGGTGTCTGTGTTAGGTGGTGGGCTTTGTGTGTGTGAGTGGATGTATTGAAATATAGTGTACATTTCTTGTAAATGTATGCTTATATTAACATACATAATAAGTATGCACAGATGTATGCACTCCTACTTGCATGCTTTATAAAAACATGTTTGCGTATATCAATAGGGTACATACATAATGTTAGTTTTTAATTATACACATTCGTCATCCTGTTCTACCAGTCCTTTGCTGAACATTGCTCTCATTACGGTCTTCTTGTGCTGTCATTACGGTCTGCCTGTGCTCTCATTACGGTCTGCCTGTGTTCTCATTATGGTCTGCCTGTGCTCTCATTACTGTCTGCCTGTGCTCTCATTACAGACTGCCTGTGCTCTCATTACGGACTGCCTGTGCTCTCATTACGGACTGCCTGTGCTCTCATTACGGTCTGCCTGTGCTCTCATTTCGGTCTGCCTGTGCTCTCATTACCGTCTGCCTGTGCTGTTGTAGCACAGCTCTCTTCTTTGTTGCGTATGTTGATGTCACACCCAGGTTCTTCTTTAGGTTTGCTACAGGAGGAGTCGATTGGGAGATTATAGATGAGGAGAAAGATGGTCGTGTCGATAGTAGTGATGGTGATGATTATGTCTTGCTTGCTACATGCTTCTCACATGACTCTGATGCTTGTATAATAAAATGGCTGGAAACAAGGTTGCGTTATGTTCTTCATCTCTAGTTACTTTGGTTATAGTGTTTGTAACTGCCACCAGCTTCTAGTGCTGTTTGGTACTAACTGCTTGATCATCGACTCCAACATCTCTTTAGTGTTCCTACCTAACAATTCTCTGATAACCATGGATCCAGGTATTTTGTGTGTTGTATCTGTAGCTCGATGTCTTGTTTCACGTCTCTTCTCTAGTGTCTGTCTTCGAGGCTACATGTGACTGGCTCCTCTGCTTCTAAGTCTTGAGGACTGAAGGAATTCTCTCTTCCTTGAGGGTCCATGTTACTAGTCCCTCCTATTCAAAGTCTCGACAACTGAAGGTGCTTTGAGGGTCACTATGACTGGTCCCTCCTCTCTTGAGTCTTGTGAACTGAAGAATTGCTTAAGTGCTTTGTTACTCACTGTTTATGCTGGAATGCTAGTTTTTTTGTTTTCTTCTCACTTTTTCTGGTTCTAGAATATTCAAGTAAACCTTAACATGTTTACTATGTGCGTTCTCACATGGGATTTTCTAATAATATCTCGATTGCATCAGATTTCATCATTCTATTCTGCCCAAATATAGTAGTTAAATTGACAGTTGTCCTCATAGAAGCTTTTAGAAAGCTAGTGCAACTGCGTTCATTTGATAAGGCATATCAACAATGACGTCAAATACTATTTATAGATTATTCATTTGCAAAACATTTCTCTGTTAATAACAAACAAAGTTTCTAGAAAAGAATGTCAAGGCTGCCAAAACTTGTTGATTTCCTGTACATCATAACTGCGCAATAACCTAGCTCCCAACAAACAAGTGATTACTTCTCCCTGTTACACTGTCATTACGGTCTGCCTGAAAGAAACTGCCTGTCACCAGCTCTCCTGCCTAGTGCACTTTCCTATCCAAGGTGTCACTTATATTCTGTGCCCATGTTTGTGCTGGTCAGCCTCTGCAACTCTTTCATTAAAACATAGAAAAATTATACATACTGTCTTGTCTCTCCTCCCCTATGTTTTTTTTAAAATGAATTAAAACATGTACCATGAAGTTTTTATAAGCTTATATCCCAGCCAATACTCATACTGGGGGAGCTGCGGTAACATAATGGCTAGATGCTTGCCTAAAGTTCTCGGGTTTTATTCCTCAAGTCAATTTTTATTTTCAACACATTGATTTCAATGTCAAACTTTTGTTAATAATTAATTTGATGGACACAGGAAGGGGACGTTAAGATCTGAATCTGCTGGTGTTCAAGTCACTAGACGTAAGAAAGTAGATTTAGTTCTGTTTTGTTTAGGCTGCAAAAGCTACTAGATATTAGTCTTAGTCGAGGTTTCAACATCACAGCAATCGGGTTTCCTCATAAGTGCTCCAATCCTGTGCCAGTGAAAATCAAATGGAATGTCTCTCACTGTTGCATTTGAAAAACTGGTGAACAAACAAGTAGCCGCAGAACAATCAAGAAATATATGCACACAGTAAATGCGTATTTCAGTTGCTAGAGGCGCCAAAGCGAACAGTGGCCACCAGAAATTTAGTTTGTCGATGATTGAAGTAGTCGGGCACGATAAGTTGGTTACTATACACACACAAAATTATTACATAAGGTATTTTATTTCACCAGAACACGTAAAGTGGCTTCCGGCCATACTGAACACCACAGCACAACAGCTGCACAAATGAAAGGCATTCCACAGGAAAATCACAGCTCATATGGCTGCAACTAAACTCAGTAGCTCAGGCAGCGAAACTGTAGACTACCGTCCTTTTGTAGAAACTATTAGCAAAGCACTGTCGGAAGCAAAAGTAAATATAAGAACACAAAGTCCCATCTCTACTTCTTCTTAACCTATTGATAAAACTAGTCATACACAGACACAGTTGACACAAAGACCTATCTCTGTTTTATCTTAACCTGTTGACAAAACTAGACATACTCAGACCTCAGCTTTTTAAAATCTAATAATAATGATATAAAAATAGTATCTCAACTTTGTCTTCCTGTATTAATAATAAAATTACTAGACAGTCCTAGTATTTAAGTTAGACTGCACATTTGTCTTTCAGTATTAATAATAAAACTGCTTGTCTTACCCATACACAAGTTAAGTAATAAAACTACTGCACATGCCTAGCCACAAGTTAGATCCCAAAATTGCCTAAATCTAGTAATAATAAATTGTGTGTAGAAATTAAATGTAAATGGTAAAGATATTTTGGACATGTTATGAGGAGGGATATCCTAGAAAACTTGTTGACAACTTGCAAACTTGACAGGCAAAGAACAGGGTAAAGAAAAGAGATGTGTTTAATTTGGACACATGGTTTGGGCAGGACAAGAACACTGACTTGATCCATGAAACTCAGTTTTTATCACAGCTGTGTATTATATACAACTCTTGTAAGTATTAGGTGCAAATGTATTTAGTCAGTCCAATCAGATTGTGGATATCATCTGTTTTTCCTTCAGCATTCCCTATTGCAAAGCCTTCCAGTACTGTCATGTCACCACAGCCCATAGAGTTGATCAGTGAGGAGAGTAGTGAAAGCCGAATGAGTGCCAGTGCATTAAAGACCAGAATTTTTCTGGTTTCTGGATTACAGAACCAGGTGGGTAAATCTGGACATGAATTTGTTTTGTTGATCAATATTATTGGAAACTTCTATAGTGCCGTAGCTAGCATGCCAGTCTGCCTGCCTGTTAGTGATATCTTTGAATCTCCTTCAAGGTGTGATATTTAAAAAAAAAAAAACTATTTTGGGATTCCGAGTCTGTTGAGCCCAAAATGCCTGCAAGGAAATGTGCTGGGAAATAAATTTGGAAGTGTGATTTCAACAACATCACTCATTGCTTGATGATAGATCTATAAAAATAAGGGAGCAACATCAATGCAATATGCAGTATGCTTAGAACCATGGAAAAAGGTTCCTAGATATCAGCTGTTACATAAGACCATTGATAAAAACCTACTGTTATACATTATGCTAGGGTAGTTTGATCTATTTATAGATTTAAAAAAAATATGTTTGATCATTAATTTACAGTATATTACTTTTGATGAAAGATAAAGTATAAAAAATGTCAAGTGACTAGGGCTATAATCTCATAAAACATTGACTACATTTTTTAATTTCCAAGGATTAATGACAATGTTATTGTGCTAAGCTTGTATTTGTTTACTGAGCCAAACAATTTTGTCAATTCTGTGTTTTATAAGATAATAAGCATACATAAAAAGTTGCTTATCCGATCAGATTAAATAAGATTAAAAATATGTGCCATATAAAAGATATGACTTATAAAGGACACAAAATTACTTCCCTTATTTTCTGTAACTGCGTCTGCAATTCAGGAAAGAATGGACTACTCAGCTCTTGTAGAACAGCTTGGAGGGAAGACCATAGAGAAGCAGCACTTTGATCCATTATGTACTCATCTTGTTGTGAGTAAGTATTGAAAAGAACAGATTTAACACAGAAAGTATTGTTAGATAACTATTTATTTGTGTTTATGTGTCAGTGAGCCTGTGTGTGTTGGGGGAGAGGAAGTCTATTTCAGTTACGTCCTTTTTAGGACGTAATTTTTTGTTATTTGAAGCCCCACTCTGGCTTTTTCCAGGGGCCGCAATATAGGCAGGCCATAAATATGACCAATTGTCTGAACGCGGTTTCTGGGACCTCTCCACGGTGATCCTCATCCACATGGTGGCACTTTGTGTCATCGGGTGTTTATCGCTTGTGTGATGTCCTGGTGGGGTAGAAAGTCAGTCAGTCAGTCAGTTGAAAAGAATGTTTTTGTCATCTCATACTGGAACTGTGATAGTTACACATTCTTCTTATATAAGTTCTCTTCTGCTTCACATTCACCGGCTGTAAACTCTGGTGGAAAGTTTTTGTTGCTTGTCCGTTTCTGGACTTTAAGTCTTGTTCCCTAACTTGAGATGGATCGACAACATTAAAGAGACCCTGTGCCTGCCCAGCATGACAATAGCCTGTGGGAGCCAGCGCGCACTGGGTCACAGATTATTCCTCCCCATGACGCTCAATGGCAGAAGTGGTTTATGATGATCATAAATGACGTAGGTGCTCATACGTCTCCACAGATCATGATCCCTTGTTGCCTGGAACAGCTCTTTTGATGATATCCCTCCATGCCATCATTTCAGCCCATCCATTATTATCTCTCTTGGTCTGCCTCTACACCATTTTACACAGATCTTTCCAATGTCTCTCTACTTGTTATATCGCCAAAGAACAGTGTTTGTCTCTTTCTTATTGTTGTAAATAGAGATCTACTTTCATTAGCTTCTTTCAAGCGATCATTGTTAGTTTATGATGATGGTGATGATTAATAGTAAGCAGGCAAGCTGGGAAAAATATCTAATGGCGGCAGAAATGTGTTTTCTCAGGAAAGAATGTGAAGAATTTCATTGGCTGGCAGAGAAACATGTGAGACAGTCCTCCTCTAAACAGATTAAATCACCTGTGCTTAACCACGGCCTTCTCTATTTATAGGCCTAACAGGTCAACGGGGATTCCCGTTCTTGTGCAAGAATTGAGTCCCTCTGCGTCCACAGTTTTTATCGAGGAGATGTATACACAAATTAAACTACAGTTTCATTAATTTTCGACATATTTGTATAGAACTATACGTCATTTTTAAGGTAAATAAGTGTGCCAATTAAATATAACAATAAAAGCTCTTACAGACAAACAAAAATGCTTTTGTTACAGTCAACATGAACAAAAACATCAATAACTTTTAGATATAAACTTAAAGTTGTTCCAGCAAAAGTAAAGAAATATCAGTGCTAACTCTTTGATTCTGAGAGGGTATTGTTGCATCAGAGAGGGGGGGGGGGGGGGGGGGGCATTTGTACTTTATCACATTTAGCGCATAAAAATACTGCTATGAAACATACACATGTCATACATAACATAAATATAAATGATTGATGGTTATTATTATTATTAGTAGACTACTACAACATATTGCGGCGTCCGTGGCTAAGGCGTTGCGAGTCCGACTCGTAAGCCAGCATACCGCAATCGAAACCCACTGCAGGCTGCGTGGATTTTTGTCGTGGTATGGGACGTCGCAGGTCGACCCAGCCTAAAATGGGTACCAGGATGGGCTGTCCTGGGAAAGTAAAGACAGCCGGCGTAATGCTGACCACATTACCCACAGTGCTGATGGTTTGTAAAAATATGGGACGCTCTGCCCATATGCCCGATGCGCCGAAAGGCGTGAAAAGGGATCTTTACTTTTTTACTACAACATATAATTATACTGTTATTTAATAATTAGTAAACAAGCACAATCAGTATGAAATTGATATGTGCAATACTTTTTTCACCCAGAGTAGTTTTCTTAACAGTACTTATAGCACTACTTAATATGTATCCTCAAGGTACAAACAGCATAAACAAATTTGTCCAGTTTCATCTTGTTGGATGAAATCAACTCCTTATCATTGCGAATTTTTTGGTAACAAATATGCATAAGAAGTGGATGAACAACCAGAAGTTTCCGCAAGAGTTTACAGCCAGTGTTCGCAAAGCAAAAGCCAGTTTACAAAAATTAGCACACTGTACAACTGCAAATATGCATAAGAAGTGGATGAACAACCAGAAGCTTCCGCAAGAGTTTACAGCCAGTGTTCGCGAAGCAAAGCAAAAGCCAGTTTACAAAAATTAACACAGACCGTACAACTGCAAGTAGGCATAAGAAGTGGATGAACAACCAGAAGTTTCCGCAAGAGTTTACAGCCGGTGTTCGTGAAGCAAAGCAAAAGCCAGTTTACAAAAATTAACACAGACCGTACAACTGCAAATATGCATAAGAAGTGGATGAACAACCAGAAGTTTCCGCAAGAGTTTACAGCCAGTGTTCGCAAAGCAAAGCAAAAGCCAGTTTACACAAATTAACACAGACCGTACAACTGCAAATATGCATAAGAAGTGGATGAACAACCAGAAGTTTCCGCAAGAGTTTACAGCCAGTGTTCGCGAAGCATAAGTCAAATGGTTAAGGATTAATATTATTAGTGTACTGCTACAACATATAATTATACTGTTAGTCAACAATTAGTAAAGATGCAAAGAGTGACTTGCTGTGAGAGGTTAGTTAGTAAATTAAATATTATTTTCATCCACTTACCTAGAGCTCCGAAATATCTTGACACAATTTATCCAGTGTGGTTGCACCATTTATGCACAGTCAATATGAAAGCAATAGTTTTCTTCCAACACAAGATAGTTTGCACCTGCCAACTGTCGATATTCTCCAGATATGGCTTCTAAATTACCTGTTTTTATTTTCCCTAAAAGTAAGATTTCTACATTTAAAGTAGAAAAGTAATAAACAGCCAGTTCCCCAAACTTCTAACTACTGACTAGAAACAATGACACACACATCACAACACGACTGTCTCCCGTGAATTAAAACTAAAATTGCTGTAATCTAACAACAAAGTATGAAAATCTTGTATATCCACTTTACAATATCCGCTTGTCGATTTGTAATACAAATACAATCAGAACACAGTAGTTTGTAAGCATATTGTCACACAATGCAACATGGAAACGCTTCAAGTAACCAATTTTCGAGGGGACTCAGCCAAAATGTATCGTGATTCAGTTGTTAGGCATTATTAGAGAAGGCAGTGGCTTAACATGGCACATGGTGATGATTGAAAATTATTGGGATTTTTACTATGTTAAAATCTATTCATTTAATCTGCAGACTTGCCTACTAGAAATGAGAAGTACTTGTCCTGCATCGCATCTGGCAAATGGGTTCTGCATCAGTCTTACTTTGAAGCATGTCGCAAGGAGGGCAAGTTCGTCAAGGTGAATTATTGTTTCTTAGTCTTATATTGATTTATTTTGAATGTCCTTTTGGTAACTCCTTTTTTCATTCTGTTTTGTCTCATTTCTGCCATCACCAACCATGTCGAAAAGAAGAAAAACTGTTTACTTGCTTGAAAATCTTTCTTTATTCTTTCTTAATTTTAAGCCTCTCCTTTGCATAGCTGCTATTATTAATGTATTATTATACATTATTGACAAGGACAGTGATGTCCGTGTGGTTTACCACACACTGAACAGACAACTGTTACAAATGGCCGAAGCTTTAACTATTAAAATCAACAACCCCCTCCTTTGTAAGCAGACAGAATCTGTAGCAAATTTGAAGTTACCCTAGTAAGTCAAGTGACTGCGGTGAACTTCCGGTGACAAGACAAACATGGTGCATCAAAAGAAACTGTTCTCATTTTAGTTGGATTTTCTAAGTTTTTGTGCTTCTTTTTGTGTTGATGTAACTGTAGTAATGCACATGACCAGAAACAGCAAAATATGTATGGAAATAAATTGTGCAATGTATTGTTTGTGACCGTATTTTTTGAATTCATTGTGGGAGAACATTGTTTTGAGCATTATTGTAGTTTCATTTTTTTTTTTTTTAAATTGATGTCAGATTCACTCTAAATCAGTTTATTTGACTCTAAAGTATATTTAGTATAGTCAATGTCATGTAACATCAGTTATTGTGCATGTTTACATCCATTACAGTCATTTATCATCAATGATTTCTATCGGTGTTTGCCACCAGGAATTTGATCTCATAACTAGTCTCTGATGTCTTCATTATTCTGACTAATTTTGAGGGCAGCAAATCAGGTCAAAATGGTTTTGCAATCAAATGTTCATAAAATATGTCTTTAGTAAATGATGAAGGTAGAACATTATATACAACAATGAGAAGGAGACAAACAAAATTCTTTGGTCATGTGATGAGAAAAGGAGCACTGGAAAGCATTTTGACAACCGGAAAGATCACTGGTAGATTAAAACATATAGCCCAAAGTCTCAGTGTGAAGAATCCTGTTCTCTATTTTATACTTTTGACACTCCCCAGGAGGAACCATATGAATGGGGAAGTAGTTTTACCCAGCCCTTGATGCAGAATATGGCTCCCCAAGCTTGTAAGCTTGCTGCCGCTGCCTGTAAGTGGAGACGGAAAATTGCAGCCATCAAGAAGGTAGAAGGAAATGTTTTTCTGTATTGTCAAATAATTCACATTTAATTTGAGATTGTTCATGAATAAAGTATCTTTACTGAAAGCATTAAACAGTTTCATCAGATTCGTCCCTCTTTGTGAGTTCCAAGGCCATATTTTGGGATGAAAAGAATAGACCAACTGCCCCCCCCCCCCCCACCCCAACAAGCATGTCTTAAAGATGTCTAATTAGGGATATTCCCTTGAATGTCTAAGTGCTTCTTCCTGAGAAGCTAGGAACCAACAGTCTGTATACAGATAAGCCATATCTGTAAAACTGATGTGCATGCACAATTCAGGTTCTGGAACAAGGTCAAAGTCCAGAAGTAGATGAACAACCAGAATTTTCTGCCTGAGTTTACAGCCAGTGTATGCTAAGAAGAAGATTAGATTTGTTGTTGTAAATTTACCCCTTCTGGATGACAGTCTGAAAGGGATAAACTAAACTATTTCAGGGCCATGAATTTTGACAGACTTGGCTCGTGGTAATTTCCCTTTACAAACATGTCAGAGTGGGTGGTGTAAAATAGAGGCAGTAGAGAATGTAATATATTTCTAACCACTACACAAGTACATATTTTTTAAAGAAAGAATGAAATAATATGTCAGTGTTTAACTCTTTGAGTCCCAAGGAACGCATCATACGTTCATAAGTTCCTACTTAGAGGCTCAATGAATGCAAGATGTGCCGATTTTACTCCTCTCTTGACCACCCCTTGGGCCTTTGATGCTAAACCCCCTGGGACTCAAAGAGTTAAAGCTGTTATAATTAGTAGAAAAAAATATTTCAGAAGGTGTTTTGTTTACACTGAGAGTTTTGTAAAATAATTCTCCAGTTACCATGGTTCTGCAGCCTCAAGACCAGTGAATATCCAAAGTTGAGTTCAATACTTTAAAGTTTTTCAGTTTCCTAACAAATTCAACTGTTATAAGTTTCTGGGTTAGTTTTTCATTCAGAGGCTGTAAGTTCTTATAGGGTGCTGAACAAAATTTGAAAAAAGAAATTGGACCTAAACACACAAAATATCAACTTTGCAATTACACACAGACTGTAGCTGTAATGATTTCAGCCCAGATAAGCTATAATATGTAGTGTTTGAAACAGACCTTTGGATGCAAATATTGATGACTGACACATCTTTTGCACATGCAGTAGGCGCTCTGTCAGACTATCACAATTGCTTGATTCTCTAACAACTGACCAATCAGCTGTCTGAAACATGAAACTAGTTGTTATTGCATATATTATAGTCATTAAAATTCAAGTCTTGAGTTTATGAACCTGTAACTAACTTTAGCTTTTATTGTAGTCATTAGTGTGGAAGTCTGAAATATCTGAAGACAACTTGTCACAACGAGACAATCAGCGTTTTTGATTAGTCACCTTGTGAGGACAGATAAACAGCATTAAAGATTAATGGAGAAGATTCTTGACATCTTTTCATTTGACATGGACAAGAAGTGTCAGCAGGACATTGATGATAGTTGAGGTATGGAGACATATTTTTGCCCATGCGGTTACTCAGTAGATAGCCTGCCCACCCGATGGTCATAGTTTTGAATCCTCCATCAAGAAATTCTTTAAAAAAAATATTGACCTTTATTTCCAGGCTAAGAAAGTCTAAACAAGTGGTTTCAGGAATTGTTTTGGGAGTAAAATTAACAGGTATGGTATTGGCCACATTAGGGATTGAGTGCTAGTTTGTCTGTAGAAATATAGGACCAGTATCAGGTGTCCAGTACACCTGAAGGAGGCGAAAATGATCCTTCATTTCACTTTTTGCTGTTGTTCTGCTGCCAGTTACCATAGTCATATCGTGCAGCTAGGCTGCTTCACTGAAATGTTTTTATATTTATCTTTACTTTGAAAAGTGTTTCAGAGATTTCTTCTTATATCATTTCAGATGGATCCATCATGTGAAGGAGCTTATAATGGCTGGAAAGTTTTGCTGTGCCTGGATAAAGCAAAAGAAGAAAATTTTCAGCGTTTGCTTGAAGCTGGGGGTGCTAAAGTATCAGTAATAAGGTACTAATTGTTTTCGTAGAATGTCTTTTATCTAGAACAGGGGCAGGGAAACCATTTTTGGAACCAAAGTTCATTTAGATAATTTTAACATCATTTGCGGGATACAGCATTTGAAATTTAAACATAAGCCTGTTATGTTTGGCGGATATTTAATTTTAGTTGTGCTGGCAGGACCACACCAGATGATTTTGGAAGCTTTAAATTGCCTGGGACCAGACATTTCCCACCCCTAAACTAGTTTCTTAACTGAACTCACTTGTCCCCATCATGTCCCATGGAACTAACCGGAAAGGCCAACCCGGTGAACAAATGACTGATAAAGTTAGATGTGTTGGCCAACAGGCACAACTATGCTGTGAACAGGCACAGAGAGAGCAATTATGTCACACAGATGTAGTGTATTGTATGGCATCACAAGGCATTATCTATAAGGTGGTATTTAATTTTGTTGATGTCTTTGTATGTAATTAAGTATTGGTTCTTGCCGGGCTTTCCCCCTTTTATGATCTCATATCTGACTTTAATTTCTTCTCCATAGCCTCTGTCAGAAACAGCCTCTGTGTCATTTCCATGGTCACTAAGTTTCTTTTAATTTTATTTCTGTTTTGAGTAACCATATCTGGGGTGGAGAGTAATTCAGGTATAGTTTTATTTGTGTGATTAAATTAGACCTTCAGTTATGTGTAAAGATAGCCCAAAAAACATACCCAGATGAGTTTGTTTGAAGTTGCAGATATTTCAGCTACTTTATAAACAGGCACAACATAGTTACATCACTCGGATGAACGTCGAAGAAGTAGATATTCAATTAGTGATCTTGAGTATGAAAGAGATTACATTTTTTTAAACATTCAACATGGAAAATTAACAGTGTTCTTATTTATTAATACAACAGTTTCAGCCCCCCCCCCCCCCCCCCCCCCCCCCCCCCTCTTTTTCCTGCCCTGCCCAGGGCTACTGGTACTGACAGTGTAACTTTCTCATTTGAAACAGATCCCCTTTTCCAGACAGCATTCAAGCAACTCATGCCTTTGTAGACATGGCCAAAGTTAAAGTTTCTCAAGTAAGTGAAACCACAGTTTGCTGTACTGCGAATGAGTGTGCTTATGCATGCATTTGCTGTATGTTGTGGCATGTGCAGACAAGTTTCTTATGGCATGTGCCTACATCTGTCTTTGCATGTAAATGCTTGATATTTTCACAAGGGAAAGTCAATAAATAAGTCATAAATGTTTTTTTTTTTTTAAAGTTATAAATGATGACAACTTAAAAACCATTTATTTTTACTCATACACTGTCACTTTGTTTTTCAACATAATTTCCACCAACATTGATGCACTTATCCCATCATTTTATCAGTCCTCCCAAACATGCTGCCTAGAACTACGTGCTCTGTTTTCTAAACCACATTTTCGCTTCACATTCAATTTCTGCTTCCTTTGTGAAATGTCTCTGCTACTGTGGGTTTTCAGTGGATCAAACAGATGGAAATCGCTAGGGGCTAAGTTGGGGCTGTAAGGTTCATGTTCTAGAAGTTGCCACCTTAGTTGAAACCTAAGGTTCCCACCCTAGTCATCATGGTAAATTTTCTCATGAGTTGACTGAGCCGTATGTAGTCTGGCGTTGTCATGAAGGAGCAGTACTCCAGCAGCCAGCAGACCTGGGTGTTTCCTTCGAATTGCACCATGAAGCATCGATAGAACTTTACAGTATAAATCAGCATTCACATTGTCACCTCTTTTTTTAATTTTTAAATTGGTTAAAAGCAGTCCTTGAAAATCACAGGACACTGTCAGCATAACCTTCCCTGCTGATGGCTTAACCTTGAATTTTTGAACACAAGGCGAAGGATGTTTCCATTGTAATGAAGCATGCTTTGATTCGGGCTGGCAGTGATGCACCCATGATTCATCCCCAGTAATAATCCTCTTTAGCATGTCTTCTTCTTCATTTGCAAATTGACAGAGAATCTGCAAGGGCAGGCCTAATTGGTTCATTTTTTGTTCGTCCGTCAATTGTCTGGGCCCACATTAAGCACACTTTCTTAAATGTCAATCGATCATGCATTATGTTGTATGCTGAACAATGGGAGCACCCTATTACAGCTGCTACAGTCAGCCGTTAATCACCTGTCACCTCTAATCATCTACTCCATCTTCTGCACAGATGCGTCTGTTGTAGTCTCAACAGGACGACCAGATCGGTTTCGTCAACAATTTTAGAGTGTCCTTGATATAAAATGTTGTGTTATCCAGCTATGCACCGCTTTAGGGATAAACATTTGTCAGCAAAAACAGGAAGCATTTCCTTTTGAATTTCCTTTGTAGGCAGCCCTTTTGCAACCCCCCCCCCCCCCCCCCCCTTCCCCCAACGCACTATAGCACGTTATTCTTTGAGGTTACACTTTGTAAGTACAGTCATCATTTTGTTTCTGTGTTGCGAATGAGCATGCAACATCTAGCACCACCTAACACACAAAGACATAAACTTCAATCTTGCTGTCACTGAATGACACTTTTAGAAACCACCAACTCCATTTTCCTACCATCCCTTAACTGTTTTTTACTTACTTATTCACTTTCACCTGTACATGCATGTGTTAAAAAAAAACCTTTCCTTTCTGTTTCTTTTATTTTGTCACTTTTCCTCACTGTTTATGTAATTCTGGTAATCTGTTTCTAATTGCTTTGTTCCCCTTCACTCTCTTCTCTTTTGTCATATTCTCTGCTCTAACTCTTCCTCACTTTCTTTGCCTCTCATTCTGTTTTTGTCTGCCATTTCTATTCCTCTCCTTCTCTGTCTCTCTCAATGTATGTATGTAATTTATATCTCCTTTTAGACTTCTTTAGATTCATGCTCATTTATAACAATTATTTATATTTTTAATGTGTATAGTCTCATATAACAAATTCAATTGAATTTTGAAAACATATTTTTAGGAAGACCTGCAGAAACTTCTAGAAGCAGACATACACTGTTTGAAACCTGAATACATCCCAGCATATCTGACAGACGAGCCTCCCCCAGACCCTTCAGAATTTTATCCTGCCGATTTTATTGCACTTAAAGCAAGGTAAATGTAATTACATTTTTTTTTTAATAAATTATTTTCTTTTAGTACATGTATGTCTTTTTCTTCTGCAATATCTCCACTCCCTCCTTCTCCACCATGCTCCCAGTTGGAGCAAAGGTCCTTATATGACGCACACCAAGCATTCCCATCTTGGTTTTGGAGGGGGGAATAAATCCACTGCCTCTTAAGAAGTATTGTTTAAAAGGTGACTAATTGCATATTTTCTGTGCCAAAAGGTGCAGCAATATCACCATCAAGCTGTTGACCACAACACAGTGTGCCACCTGCCCTTTTAAAGATGAACACAGGAAAAGAAAAAGACAATTTGAATTCTTCGCCCGTCTGCAGTGTTAAAATCATATCCGACTTTCTTAAGTAGTTCATCCCACCTTTGAGTTTTCTCTGATCTGCCATTGATAGGAATCAATAATCTCTTTATAACTATGCATAACATCAATGCTTTGAAGAAAAATAGAAATATTAACTATTTATGAAAGGAAACCTAAAGTTCAATAAAACCCTGCATCAAATATGGGAATATCTTGTTGTGTAGGCTCCAGTTATTATCACTTATGTGTCAAATAAGGATGGCAATACATTGGGCACATCCTGATGAGAAATGGACAGTGAATCACCAAAAAGCACTGAAGTTTGAAACAGACGGATTGAGGAAACGAGAACATCTTAGATAAATCTTGAGACGGACATTGTTGAGAGAGGCCAAGGGCACTAGGCTGGATTCCATCCATGACAACAAGAGGTGTGCAGGATAGAATTGAATTAAGGAGTATACTGCTAGCCATATGTGACATATAGCGGCACAACATGATGAAGGTGACGGCTAGTGTTCTTGCCTGCCAAGGTAGTAGTGCAGGCTCATTCTCTAACAGTAGCATGTAATTCATCTCCCCATTGGTGACCCCAGCCTCGGAAAGTAAATCTGGGTACCAGGCAATTTTCGTAACTATCAGATAAGGGAAGTTAATGTGGAAGACAGCTTGCAATTCCACATTGTTTATCTTGACCTAGAATATCTTCTTCTTCTTTGCATTAACCTGTTGCAAACTCCAACTAAAAGCTCTTACTGTTTGTCCACTTCTGGACTTTGATCTTGTTCCAGAACTAAGTTTTATGTCCATATCCCTTACACAAATCTGACTTATTTATATGCAGACTGTTGTCCCTTGCTTCTCAGGTAGATGCATCTGACTCTGAAGGAAACTTCCCTGATTGGTCATCTTTTACACATGACTCTGAAGGAAACTTCCCTGATTGGTCACCTTTTACACATGCTTGTTAGCAGGGCAGTTGGTCTGTTTCCCCACCCTTCTGAATGAAGCCCCCCCCCCCCCCGGAAACCACACATGAAAGAATATGTTTAGGCAGTTGCATTTCGCACCACAGAAGCCGGAGTTTCCAGCTGGTGAACGTGAAGAAGCAGAAGACACCACAGAAGCACACAATTTTATGGAACTTACCTTTGCTGTTGATTTGTTATGTATTCATCTGTTCAGTGCAGATAATTAACATGATTATTCTTCTAGTTCAGCCGAGGACTTAATTGCACTGTGCCCATTTATAAGTGGGTTGCATGCAATATTTGCACCTTACGGCTGATATAATTGGCATCTTCAGGCATTTGTTGCCATGGCTAATTTTTCAGTGTTTACTTTCTTTATCCATGAGTATTTCAAAATACATAATTTTACTATTCAATGAAATTGAGAGCTGAAATTTACATTTTTGTGTGTGTTATATACTTTAGCCAACACCTGCTATCAAAATTGCCACCTTGTCGAACTTATTTTGCAATAATGTCTTATATTGTCTTCAACAGTCTACCAGAGCCAGTTCGAAATCAGAAGCGACGAAGAACAAGTGATGAAAACACCTCAGTCAGCAAGATTTCCAGACGATGACCATAAACAGAAAACCAGACAAAATAAGTTAAAAAAAAATTACTGTAAAAAGACGTGATGAACCACTAGATTCATTTTTATGCTAATATTTGCAAAATGTAGTGCCTTTCAAGTAATTTTAATGTGTTATATTCAAATGATTGACTGCAGGAATAAGGTCTATTCAGGAAAGTATCTGGATTGTGGTCACGAAAAATAGATGCTTGTAATGCACCACCTCATGCAAATAAAAGAAAACGATTGACATGACTGATATTGCTGTACACCTGCCTTGGCTTCTGGATCATGCATGTAAACCCGTGGCTCATCACCAGTGATTACATCTTTCAGGAAGTTGGTTTCAAATGGAGTTGCTTGTGCTTCATCATCAACTTCATTGAAAATTGCGCAGATCTTTCACAGATCGAATCCTTCATCAGTGTACTTAACCAGTTTTAGCCAGTCTCCACCTCACCAAATTTTGACACAACAAATCTGCATAGAACAGAGAATCACTGAAATGGGAAACTGAATTGAGGAACAAAGACATCCAATAGAACTTGTGCAATAAACCTTAGTGAGAGAGGTCAGAGGTCCTAAAATATTTCATGCATGATATGGGGGGGGGGGGGGGGATTGCACAAGACTGAGACAGAATGAAAAAAATCTTTGCATGATGTATAATGGCCAAATAGAATAATGATATGTCAACCCACCTGCAATTCGAAAACAGTCTTACGATGAATCTTTAAACCCATCAAAGATGCAAACAGCGGGGAATGGAGAGTGAGAAGAAACAATGAAATTCATAATCTGTTTAAATCACCACTGATCACTGGCATCAGCTGAAATGGTTGGGGCATATTGAAAGAATGTCAAATGACGAGAGATAAAAACTGTATACACAAAGGAGCTGTATGGTCGTAGACCACGAGACAGACCAAAAAGACGATGGACAAAAAACATCCAGACAGACCTGCAAACACTTGGTATCACCAACTGGAAAGAGAAGGCCAATGAGAGCGATGAATGGAGGTGGGTGATATCTGCAGCAATGAACCTGAAAGGCTCAGAATACTGAAGAAGAAGAAGAACCCACCTTCAAAGGAGAGTCATGGTCAGGCAGTGCTCGTGAAGGATGGAATAAAGCATGTGCCAGTGGACATGCATGATTACAAGATGGGTAGAAAAAATAAGAGAGAGAGAGAGAGTTTGCGACTGCATTTTAACAATTCTAAATAGTTTTGAATATAATTAGCGCCCTACTCAGACACTATCTGAGTAGGGTTACTTATTGTTCCACTGGATCCCTGTATCAGTTCTGATACCCCTTTTCAAGGATAAATTAGAATAGACATGCTGGCTACAAACACGCTTGTTATAAAATGTGACTAATTAGGATCTTGCTGAAACAGGATCTGTTGGGTCGAAATGCACAGATTTTGCAGCCTAGCTGTAAACCACAACACAGTGTGCCAACCATCTTTGTAAGATGGAACACAGAAGAAGAAGAAGGAGGTTATGTGGAGATCAGCCAAAAAAGCTTTCTACTTTTCTAAATAACACCAGTGTGGCCTGAACATTATTGTCACTTCAGCCTTAGTTACTATGACGATTCTGTGTGTCAGCTATTCATGTCTTAAATACACTGACTGAAAGTCTGTCTTGTATTGAATAGTTTCAGAAAGCTATCTGAGAGCAGCAGTGACCACCTGCACTTCTAATCTGGATGTCATAATCAGATTCGCCAGGGTGGCAAGTACTGGAACTTTATCTCTAGCTAGTATGTTAGACATCTTTTTATAGACCAATTGGCACTCTGTGGGTGATGTGGGTCAAATTCACGCCGGCTGCCCTTACCTCCTACGACATTATTTGGTACCTGTGTTAAACTGGTGGGAGCCAAAGTTACTTTTGACAGTTTTGTTTAACATTGAGTAGTTAAATATTCACATTGTACATTTGAATCTGTTATACCAGAAATCACTCTTTATGTAAATAATATTTTTTTTTTCAATGCAAGATCAGAATGTACGAATAGCTGCATGATGGATGTTATATTTGTCGCAAGTTCACGTTTAATATTTACTTTATATTATAAAATGTGAACCATTGAACATTAAACTATCTGATGTTAAGCTATTGTTGTTTGTTTTGTTATATTCTGCTTCTTAACCCTTCCACACTTGAAAAATCTTAAAACATTGCCTTTTCACCCCAAATGTCATGAAAAAAAAATTATTCTTCATATTTTGTGGGCAGTATCTCATGGTTTGGTCCTCTGGCATAAAAGTGATGAATCTGCTATACAAATATCTTATTGTGTGACAGACAAGGTTTAGAAGTCTGATTATCAAGCCCAGACAAGGTTAATGTGTCTGCTACAATAGGCCTCACTTGTCTTAGTCTTATCTCATCTCGGTCCTCTGGTACCTGGTGGTATCGAGGTGAAGTCTTAGTGTTGGTTGGGGGGGAGGGAGGGGGGTGCAACACCTGTAGATAAATGGACAAAGAGTACACCATACAAATAACGTTATGTTGTGAACCACAAAACCAGTTAGGAAGGCGAAAAAAGTTCCAATGGAGTCGGCCGAAAGGCGCAGATATTGCATCTTTGGTGTAGACGGGCACAACGCAATTACGTCACTCAGACTAACAAGGAAGATGAAGAAACTGGAGAAGAGCTGGAGTATAGAGGACGATAAAATCAGACCGTTTTACGTACATAAGAATATGGTATTGGAACTGCCTCAGCTCAAAGCGGAGGGCCAGTTCTGTAGAAACTAATTTATTATTCTTCTTTCTTTTGTCGTCTCAAACTAGGTTGAAGCCCAGTGTCGTGGTTTTCTGTATTTATCTTGCGCTTCTCGGGTGGCTTAATTCTACAAATATTTTGGCTAAACAAAATCACAAATGAAGAACTGAGGGGGAAAACAGAATATGCATCACTGGCAAATGTTATCAAAGTAAGACTATGGAGATGGCTTGGATATGATTGCAGAATGCCTTGTGATATCTGGCAAAAACAACTCTCCAGTGGACAACAGATGGAAAAAGGAGATGTGGACGACCTAAGGAAACATGGAAAAGGACAATAGAACGGGAAATGAAGGAATGTAAACTGACATGGAATACCATGGGCAGAAAAGCAGCAGATCGGCAGCAATGGAGATCTCTTGTGAATGCCCTATGTGTCAACAGCGACATGAAGAGGATATAGATAATATTGATTCTCGGGTGGCTTGGGTGATGGATCTGTTCATCTTTTTGCTAATGTATGGCTTTAATATACTTATGCAGGCAGTTGTTTGTTGTATTAGTATCCAGAAGTCATGAGTTATTAACCCTTAGGCTCTGTATTATGGATATTGCAATCTTTCGGCCTTGATTCCATTTTTAAATACCGTAAATCTGAGAGAAAATGTGGCTTTTCTGCCCACCCCCGAGAGTGAACCAGGACCACTAGGAGTCCGTCACCCGCTCACCGCACAATCCGGTTTAGCCAACTATGCTAGAGAGACGGGCATGCAGGTAGTTAAAAGAGATGTGTTAAAGTATCCAGTGTAAACCAGCTACATCAACCCAGCTGAGTTATGGTCAGGCAGTGCTCGTGAAGGATGGAATAAAGCATGTGCCAGTGGACATGAATGATTACAAAAGGGATGGTAAATAAAGAGATACAAGTGGATATTAGTGAAGTGACATAGAATAAAATGAGTGTGTGTGCGCGAGGGGATTCGTAAGTGACCAAGGAGAGATGAGGACCTAAATTTGGCGATTACCCAGATTGATGAAAGACAGGTGAGGCTGACATCACTCACCAAGGCCAAGGCTATTGGAATTCTGGAGGAGGCACTAGGAAAAATGACGTTGGCCAGATGCACCAAGGGACTATCCTGGCTACCCTGAAGAGGACCAAGGAGACAGAGGAGATGATCAGGAACATCAAGGAAAGGAAGGCTTTGGACCTCCCTCTTGATATCAGGATCTTCTTGGACATTAGCCGACCAGAGGTTACCTTGGTGGTGAAGGGGGTGCCAGTGGAAGGAGATATGGTAAGAACCGAGGAAAGAGAACCCAGGCATGGAGAAAAGGAAGGTGTCCAAGCTGAGCACCAGCGAAGGCAAGCTGACCACTACTCGAAGTCAGGTGTGGAGGGAAGACAGTTCCTGAGAGGGTAATGGTAAGTTGTGTGATTTGTTCTTTCCACCTCTGCCACATTGCGAGAAATGCTGGCGCTTCTTCCACAGCTGCCGTGAGGAGGTAAAATTCTGCCATGAGAACGCCCAATGTAGAACGCATTTATTTCTCAATGTGCCTTCGCAACCTCTTCATTTCATCGAGATGGTTGTGTCCATCTTCCCCTTTTCTTGCGGCTAGGGAGGGGCACTTATTTCACAGCATCTAATGCTGTCCTGTTTTGTCAGACTGGAAGGCATTTATTGTCTTTTCTTTTTGTTGCTTTTTTTTTTTTTTTTTTTGGCTCGTCTTGACCAGACAACACAAAGTATATGTTCTCAGTCATGGTACACTATCTGCAGACCTAGACAATGTTTGGCAAGGCACTTATTTATAATGTTGAACTATATATTTTTATTTTTTTAAATAAAAAACAGAAGAAGTCATAATATTTTGGCCATTTTATAAGAGGAAAACTAGAACATGTTATTCCGGGGCCCTATTATAGGCTAAGGGGGGAAAAAGGAGCAGACCCACTGCCTGCTCAAAAGCATGTCGTAAAAGTCAACTAATTGGGAGCTTCCTTCGAAGTCGGAGTGCATCTGCCTGAGAGGCAGTCTGCATACAAATGAGTCAGATATGTAAAGTGGATGCACATGCAACACTCAGGTTCTGGAATAGGAATGCAGTCCAAAAGTGGATGAACAACTTGAACTTTCCACCAAAGGTTTACAGCTGGTGAAGGCGAAGAAGAAGATGTTATGACCGCTGGAAAGATCTGTGGAAAGAGATACAGAGGAAGACACTCCGAGATTAATACTTGTCAACTGTTTGTCATGACATGGAGGGATGGCATCACATGATCTGATACATGCTGCTGGAGATCGCAGGTTGTGGAGTGACATGATCGCTTACGCCAGTCGGCAAGGCACTAACTGGCAAAGATAAAACATCTGTTTAATCGCACCCGACCGAGGGCAAAGGTCACTTCCGTGTTAGTGACAGTTGCAGTGAAGATAATGCTTGGTTGGCAAAAGGTCGTCGTGCCAGACTATAAACAAAGGGCTCTTCGTTTGTCAGTCTGTGGCTGGCTAGCGTTATCTTTTGTCCGTGATTAACACTATCAAACTGTGTCATGTGTAATCAGCCCAGTAGCAAATCAGAGGATTGTACACGACAGTGTGACGGTGATAGTAGTAGTAGTAGTACGGTCGTTTTCACTACCTTAGAATTAGATCTTAACTTCACTTTCACTGCAGCCTGTTTTTGATAAACGCTTAGACTTAGTGACTTAGATAGACCGCAGTCAGTTGAGTTTCCACTGAGTGAGACTTTCATTGCTAACCTTTTGTAATTTTAGTGTTTAGATTTTTAGTTGTAACAGTAACTTTATTTGTACTTTTTTGTAGTTAATTACTCATCATCATCTCATCATCATCATCATAAACCACCTCTGCTGTTAAGCGCTGTGAGGAGGAACAATTTGCGATCCAGTGCACTGGCTACCACTGGCTATTGTCATGCCGTGAAGAAGTTATTGTGTAATTATTTACTAACACTAACTAATTACTAAATTAGACTGCTGCTGAATTAATATTCATTTCTGCCTGCCAGTTTCCAGTAATCATAGTATTAGTATTAAGTAATTTAACTAACCTGTCAACATTGGCATTCAACCATTTACAAAATAGCTTTTGACATAATGAAATTTCGGCTATCCTCCGAATAACGGGCACAAAAGATGGCGGTCAAGAACAGAGCCTCAGTCACGTGTCAAATGCGCACTTCTGGTGACTTAATTTGCGGTTTTCCGGCGACTACCGCCACTGCCGAGAGAATCCCCCACGCAGCGTGAGTGGCGTGGATTGGGGCTAAACTAGATGGCTAGGACTCAGGAGCAAAGCTGCAGGAGTTGTGGAAGCTGCTGCTTGTAATCCCCAGCCATATATCATTTAGTAGCTTTTTACATAGTCAAGCAGCTTTGAATCTGTAAAGTTTAAAAAGTCAGATCCAATGCATTGCTAAAAAAAAATTTTGTTAAGTTAAAAAAACACTCCCAAAGGGGGAGCTTTAGGTTATAATTGTAAACAGGTTATGTGCACCATATACAATGGCTTAGCATTGCACGCCACCAAGAGCCCTGAAAAGGACTCCTGCAGTGTCGATGCAATCAAAGGAGACAGACTTAAATACTGTCCCGTATAGCGATGAAGGCGAGCCAATGTGCGACTTGGTCACTGATTCAAATGTGAAAATTCAGATGTTACTGCTAGCCTTTTATGTGTGTGTAGAACTTAGTTACATTTAGTAAGTTAGCACTTTGTACTTTGTGATTAGAACTTACTATTAGTACCACTACCAAATTCTTCTGCATTTCAGTTTCTAATTAAGCATAGCCTTCACCATTTATTCTTTAGTAGCATTTTGCATAATTAAATAGTGTGTTGAATCAGTAAAGTTTTAATTCAGTTTTTTTTTCAGGCCTCTGGTGTTAGTAGTTACTGTTAGTAAATAAGTACTTTGTTTGCGTCTTGACCCGGTAGTTTAACTTTGAATCCCTATGGAGAAGAAATGTTAACGCTTTCAATCCCAAAGAACACACAATATGTTGATAAGTTCCTATCTAGAAGCCCAGTGAACGCAAGGTGCACCAATTTTATGTCTGTTTTTACTACAACATGGGTATCTGACGCTATACCCCCTGGGACTGAAAGAGTTAAAATTGGCCAGGCTGCCAGCTCAACCCAACTAGAAATGGATACAAGGATATTTATATGGAAATAAAGGCAGTTTGCCTGATACCGACCAAATCGCCCTCTGCGTGCCATTTCGTCAGTCTTCAAAGTCCTTGTGTAGGCCCCTCACTCCAACCTTCATCCTAGAGGACCAGTTGGACTATAAATGTACAAGGCTAACACCATAGTTTAAAACACCTGAATGAAAAGAAGCAAATTGTTTACTCACATTTAATAACTACTCTTCCATTCCCTTTAAAGCTGCTTAAAATAGCTGAAGGAATGGGTAAATTTTTTTCATCATTTACCCGCACTACTCATTCATTTTTCTAATAGTGTTCAGCATCATTAATGCCCCAATATAGGACACAGTTGTTTGTTATTTTAAAGCCCTACTCCAGCTTTTGTCGGGGCCCTAATATAACCTAACGGTTGAACAGGGTTTCTGGGACTTGTGTCCGGGTGATTTTCATCCGAATAGTTGCACTTTGTGTCACTGGGTGTTTATCGCTCATTGTGCGGTCCTGGTGGGGGTTGAACTTCATTCATTCATTTTTGTTTTTGTTGTTCTGCGACAGTCTACAGAATCAGAGATAACTGCTTGGTTCTTGTTTGTGTAGTCTCCCTTCTATCAAGTGTTACTATATGACTATGCTAATAGGGACCACTAATAAAACTATAAAATTGTAGTTGTGATCACAAGGACGGTAATATTGTTTATATTATACCACTGTCTCTCCAGAGTCATGCGGGTTTAACAATACAAAAGCAACAGTTTGTAGTTAATAGTTTGAATGTATAACGTTGGAGACATTCGCCAAATGATGAATATGATTGTTACCAAGACTGGACTGTTTTCTCTTGTGTGGTCCTTATTCTGTGCCTCAAGTCTCGCATCACCACCAGAATCACTTCAACAAGTAAATCTGGTAAGTTGAAAATTAAATATTGTTGTTATTTGATGTTTGTGTTCACTGGCTGGAAACCCCAGCGGAAAGACCTGGTTGATCGTCTATTTCTGGACTTAGGCTTTGCTCTAGGACCTGAGTTTTGCATATGCATCCGTTTTACAGACCTTGCTTATTTGTAGGCAGACTGTTGGTTCCTTGCCTCTCAGTCAGGTGCACCCCGACTTTGAAGGAAGCTCCCTAATTTGTCAACTCTTACGACATGCTTGAAGGGGAGGTGGTGGGTCAGTTCTTGTTTTCCTCACAATGGGACCCTGTAACCCACACAGGGTAAAATAAAATCTTAAAATAAATAAATATAATATTATAGTGGTTTTTACAATTCTTTCCAGCAGGATTGTAGCAAAAGTTACTGACTTTTGTAAATTTTGTTGTGGTGAAAAACACACATGATATTGAGTTAAGAGCCAAAATCACAGTTCTCTGAACATCCTCATGTGGTCCATCCTCATTTTCAGCAGCTAAAAAGAGATGTCAGTTATACCAGTAGCAGTAGGATTATATTATTATTTGTTTTGCAATCTCTCTAAGTGTAGAGTGTGGGTATTTTTTTAGTTCAGTGCGTATACTCCTTAGGATTAAGCCTGAGTTAAGCCTTGTTTTTTCCATAGCTGTTAAGTACTTTGGTCTCAACAGACTCTTAATTACTTCTCAGGGCAAACAGTAATTATGACATCTCAGGATTTTTGCTTTCTGGTATTATGCAATCGTATGTAGTAGCGGCACCGTTTTTAGACATCGGTTGTGTGTGTGTGTGTGTGTATATTTACACATGCACATGTTTATACAAAGATAAATGCAATGCCTTCAAAGCTACTACTATATTGGTGTGTAATGTTTACTTCCAGTACAAATCCATGGTGCTAATGTAATGTGTCTGTTTGACCACACAAATATATTGATGATACCAGAGATAAGTCCTATGGATTTAACTATGGACTTCAGAGTTAGTAATGAGTATCATAGCTACTCAGCAGTGTCTCACCTGAATCCTTAGGCAGGGCCGTTTTAGATATGTGAAGTTGCACAAAGTAGCTAAAATACAACTAGCATTGAAAAGACTGACACAATTTGTGTTTTCTGTGATATAATTTTTTTTCTTCTAAATGAGCTACTGTACCATATGTTTATTTTCTGTGTTTACCATATATTTTTTGTCTTAGAACAATTTTTTAGGTCATTTTTTCTTTGGTTTCGACAGCATCAATTTTAAGCCAGATATTTTGTTGTTTAACTGCAACATGACAAAGCTAAAACCTTCTTGAAGAAAAAGTATTGGCTGTATAGGGACGTATAATATATCAAATTAAAGAGAATTGAGTGCAGAATAAATTTAAGTATCAGCAATACAAAAAAATTTTAAAATCACACAACATTCAAGGACACATGAAGATTATTTTAAAATGTTGTGTTTACCTTTTTACTTGTTCAGCAACACTGCTATCCATTTCTAAGAACTCACATGCCTTCTCTGTTCAATTATGTATCAGCTAGTCTTTTTTTTTTTTTTTTTGAAAAAATTAATTTAAATACTATGGATGTTATGACCATATTTGTATGACATGTCAGATTTCACAACAACCGAAATTAGGAAAATAGCTGATCGAAACAGATGATCCAATTTTAATATTTTTTTCAATCCTTATCCTTCTTTCTTCTTCTTCTCTTCCACCTCGTAGCTCATTGAAGTGTCAGGGGGAGATGTAACATTCGTTGATGAGCTCTGTCAAGAGCACTATTAAGACTGATGTTCATTTCTGTAAGGCTGTTCTTAATGCCATCTTAATCTTCATCGTATCCTAAATTATCGGCAGTAGGTTTGTCACTTTCATTATCAATCATAATATCAAGACTTTTGTCACCCTGTGGCTGAGATTCATCAAGGACATAGCAGATTGTACAGTTCTAGACCTTTTCCCTTATCATTTGGTATAGAAAAATCATGTTAAAATTGTATCACATATAAATATTTTAAAACAAATCAGAGAGTGACGCAAACAGCATGCTGAACTTCAATAACAAAAGGACTCCATTTGGCTAATTCTAGTTTTACAAAATATGTTCAAACAAATTCGTTTTTCCAGCAAAAGACACAATATTAGAGTGTCTCTATCAAAAAGTTAAGTATAAACGCTTCAATACAGTTTAAAATTGAAGTAAACAATAAATGAATAGCAATTCTGAAGTTTAGCTGAGGGAAGAAGGAGTTTAACATAAATGACTTCACAGGGGCATCATACATCCTAAACACAGGCCTGTCCTTAAGGGAAGCAAAGAATGGTAACATTGTACCCTACCATGTGTGCCATAGGAGAGGACTAAGGATAGAGTTGTGCTTGAAGTTGGATATCTCATCACATAAAACACTAAAGCAAACCCAACCCAACCAGTTATAATTGTTGCTGGCATTAGATAGGACACACTTTGAAAAACCTATTAAAAGTATAACTAGAATGTTTTTGCACTGGAACCCACAGTGTGAAAGGAATAAAGGCAGGCACACACACACACACAAACGCATGGTGGAGGGAATGAGAGAGGAAAGTGAAAATGATGGCGAGGGCTTGGGTTGAGCTGCACATATGGCAAAAGACTTGTCATCAGTTTTGAAGGCCTGTTGTGTACTGAGGGATAAAGAACAATAGACAATAACTACTGTGCACATATACTTATTTAAAACAAACACAGTACAGTACACTCTTCCTAAATAAATACTTTTGTCACATAAGAGTTGTTTGCACTTTGCTGTTAAGTGCACAGACCTATCTCTTTCTGCCTCTGACTGTATGAGTCATGGCTTTAATCACTATGTTAATTTCTGGATGCTGCTGAGTTTATGTAGTGTTCTTAATTTTATAATGTTGGCAGCTGTTAACTGTTTTAGACTGCAAGCTTCTGTTTAGTATATTGAGCATCCAGGTTATCTCATACTTTAGTTCTCTTGTGTACAGTTCATTACTGCAAGCAAATTTGATTTAGTTTCTTGAGCATGTTTGTGGCTTAGGTAATGCATTTTCACAGTCCTGTAGTACTGATGTTTGAAATCAGCTGCAGGCAGTTTGACTGCAGACCTCTTTGCGTACATTTTGACAACAGTGTGAGTGTCGTACATTTCAGAAAGCAGTGGCAAACTACAGAACCTACATTTTTTTAGTAAAACCACACACACACAAAGTCTACTGTTTATATTGACTACTTTTAAGGGGGTGTTGTTTGGGGTGGGGTCATGAGTCTGCTGAGCAGGACCCCCCCCCCCCACCCCAACAAACAAAATTTTATCCCTTATCAAGGATCAACCCCGGGTTTCTCACATGTGAGCCCTTTGTTAAAACTACTCAGAATGCTGCTGGAGTTGGTTTGTTATGTTTTGAAAAAGACATGCAGCTGATTTTGTTCTTTAGCTTGAGAAATAAATTGCTGTGGAAATGGAAGACAGTAAATATAGACATTTGAGTATAACCACCCTTCAGTGTAGATATGCCCTTTAGATATTTTTTCCTGGGCATGCAGGTGAGTTGTGAAAAGAACAGGCAGGTAGACTGGCTGGTTCTGTACCACTCGGTGGTATACTGAAGCATAACATGCTAGATGTCAAGGCCCTTTTGGGAGCGAGTGATCAGTGCAGAGGCAGATTATCATGGTATGCAACAGGGATGACCAGAGGATCTAGCCGATACTCCACACTCAGAGGAAAGGCATGACGGACATTCAGGCAGACTGATACTGGTACCATCGGAGTTGGAACTCTTAGTTGGCTGCTAAAGATGGGGATGGAGCAGATAGGAATGTCACGAGTGATGTGATGTCGGTTCTTGAAACTCAGCTCAACTCAACGTAGATGCAGCAGTTGCCATACTTTCTAACAAACAGATAAATATGATAAACTCTACAGTTGTTGTGTTTTTCGATCTTTCTATTGTGTCCCTTAACTTAGAAACAACATCTCTGTTGCCATCATGTATTTCTTAGTTTTGTCTGCCTATTGTTGAACTGTCAAGATCTAAATGCAGAATACAATACAGGTAACTCAAGTAGATTTAGGCCATGCATAATACATTGTTAATGACCTCCCTCTATTTTATGTTATAGCTGTATCGCCATGGTGATCGCAGCCCTGTGTTTGTGTATCCAACTGATATCAACCAGCAAGCAGTTGCCTGGCCAGATGGACTAGGATGGTTAACTAATGTGAGTTAAAAGGTTGCAAGTGTTCAGATATGATGTTCACTAAGAATATTGTCATGTTTTTATCTGTTTGATGCATTTGCCTTCCTTGGTGTGTGTGTACCATGTTGTGTTCTGCTTGTGTACTTGTCTGTTTCTTTGTGTGTGTTAATTCATTTGGAGATAAAGAAAGAGAAAAAGTGAGAGATTGATATAGAGTGTGAGAGAAGGAAATGGACAAAGAGGGTTAGAGAGCTAAAAAAAAAAATCAGAGAGAGATAGAAAAAGATATAGCAAGCGAGAGAGAGAGAGAGAGAGAGAGAGAGAGAGAGAGAGAGAGAGAGCTAGACATTTAAGGAGTTTGAGAGATACATAAGTGAGAGAGAGCTAGACATTTGAGGAGTTTAAGAGATACATAAATGAGAGAGAGCTAGATGTTTGAGGAGTTTGAGAGATACATACATGAGAGAGAGCTTGACGTTTGAGGAGTTTAAGAGATACATAAATGAGAGAGAGCTAGACGTTTGAGGAGTTTAAGAGATACATAAATGAGAGAGAGCTAGACGTTTGAGGAGTTTAAGAGATACATAAATGAGAGAGAGCTAGACGTTTGAGGAGTTTAAGAGATACATAAATGAGAGAGAGCTAGACGTTTGAGGAGTTTGAGAGATACATAAATGAGAAAGAGCTAGACATTTGAGGAGTTTGAGTGATACATAAATGAGAGAGAAAGAGAGAGATAACCATAATTAATCAGACAAGTAGGACTTAACCTGTCAGAATTTTGTTTGGGAAAAAAAAGGGGGGGGGGGAAACAAAGAGAAAAAAAGAGAGGGGGGGGGGGCAGTAGGTTGTTGCTGAGGCTGTAGACATTAAAGAAAGTATACAAATCAGCAGTGGTAACTTTAAGTTCGCAGTGTTCAATGCTATGCACAACTGTAATTTGCCAACTTTGCAAAGTGTCTTTTTTTCTGTTTTTGGTTTCAGATCGGCAAACTGCAACATTATAAGCTAGGACAATATCTACGGTCACGCTATGATGGATTTCTGAACACATCTCACTACAATCATCAAGAGGTACACTGTCCTTCCTGTCAGACACTTAAGATTAGTTGTTTGATTGATTGGTTTGTCCTGTCTGGGCTGTTACATGTAGGTTTACCACTTGAGATTAAAAAAAATCTCAAGCCAGATGACAGACAAACAGCGAAGATCCCAGATACCCGGTTCAACCTCAGAAGAAGTTATAATTAGGGCACAGTTGTAATGGCTACACCAGCCTGGTGTAACCTGCAGTTGTGTGAGGGTATGAACATTTAGATCAGTGGTTTTGAAAATGACTGATACCAATCTTTTTCAAGGCAGGAAACAGGTGAAGAGGATCAGTGACATTTTCATTTGTAGTAGACTGGGCAATAGTAACAGTGAAGAACCTTATTTTTTTAAACACCATGTGTGGCATGTTGGGCATATGATGCTAGACTCATAATTAAATTGACCAGCCAGCACTTGGTGAGTGATGCGGTCAGTATCACACCAGCCACCTTTACCTCCCAGGTCTTTACCTGATAGCCATTTTAGGCTGAGTTGACCTGGGAACCGAGATTAATTGTGGGAAAAAAATTCAGTCTTGGTGCAGATTCAAACTGACAACCTTCGATTCAAAAGGCAGGCATCTAACACAGCTTCTAGACTGACCAATAGATGCTGCTATTATATCAGGGGATCAGCGCTTGAGTTGAAGAACTGACATCACAGTACTCAGGGCATTTCCATAAGCGCTCCATCCCCATCTTCAGTAACAGTCTGATTATACGCCCATCTTGCCTATCCTCTGAACGTCAAGTATTGGTCAGACACCCTCGTCACTCCTCGCTGCATAATTCTCACCATCCTGATGATCCATTCTCTTCTCTGAAGTGTACACATCCTGCCATAAGACCTTAACCATGTATGCCTTATCATGCATCAGTATTCCACCAAGTTGTGCATAGCCAGCGAGTCTATCCACCTGTTCATTTTCCAACACACTGGCATACCGGAGAAAAGACTGAGGTGAAGCATGCCACTCTGCACGAAGCATGCCTGTTCTGACCTTTCTCAGCATGCTTTCTGAGTCAGTTACAATCACGATGTGTATGTGTGTGGTCATCGTGCTGTCTAGCCAGCAAAAAGCTGCAGTGACTGCCTTCACCCTCATTCTCAAGCTGGATGTTGTTGTATCATATGCTAGGCTCTCCAGCACCAAATTTCAACCATTATGATTTGATTTGTTAAGAACCTCCAGGCATTTCTTTTTGCCTTTTGACACTGAACCATCAGTATAAAATAATCACAGTGCAAGATCAATGCTAGATTGAGCTGCTTATGGGAACCTTGAAATGAGAACTGACAAAAATCACTGAATGTCGATGATCTATGAAAATATGGGGTCCAACACCAAATACCCTATGTACCGCTAAGTATGAAAAGGAATCTTTACTTTGAGGCTGGATTATGCTGGAGCAACATGGGCACAGAAATGTCCATTAAAAGGGGATTTGAACTAAGCAAACAAATGCATTCATGACTATTCAAGATCCTTTATTACCATGTGGGTTCCAAAGTCCCATTGTGGTGTGGAAAGGGGGGGGGGGATAGACCCACTGCCCTCCACCCACCAACAAGTGTGTCATAAAACTCGACTAATTAGGGGTGTTTCCTTCAAAGTCGAAATGCGTCTGCCCCAGAGTCAAGGAACCAACAGTCTGCTTATTGTTAAACCAGTTCTTTAAAATGGATGTACACACAAAACTCAATTTTTGGACAAACAACCAGAACTTTCTGCCAGAGTTTACAAGCGGGTAAATGACAAGAAGAACAGGAGGAGCAGACCCCTTGCATTCCGTCTACACATGAATCTGGTACTAACTTATGTTCTGTAGTGGGCAAAAGTTATGTGTAATATTTTACTAAAATAACTTGAAGTATTTTACCCATTACTTTTGCCTTTCTACAGAACAGAAGTTGTCAGTGATTTATTTTTATCAGTGTATGATTATGGCGTGATATAATTTTGGCAGCATTCTGTGTCATATGCAGATTTCAGTACAGTCATCGGGAGTTGAAAGGTGTCTCATGTCTGCATACTGTAACCTGGCAGGATTATTTCCGCCTCAAGGTGATCAGCTTTGGAATGAAAACATTCCCTGGCAGCCTATCCCAGTGCAGACAAAGCCAATAGCAGAAGATAATGTGAGTTCGTTTTTATTCTTTGCTGATATAAATATATATGTACATTTTTTGTTACAATGGCTTAATTGAACATAATTTTTCATAACATCATCATTATGTGGCACTTGCGTTACAGAATGTTTACCAAACACTTTCCGACAGTTAAATAATGGGATTATATATATGAAGCAAAGCATGTGATAAAAAGAAATAACATTATTCTAAGATCTGGGAAAATTATAATGCCATCTAGTCAGCAGATGACAGGTAAGCCACCATTTTCTTTAGCTAATGAGAGATGCTTGGTAATAAATGCAGCATGGAGCAGAGAGTAAATATTAAATTCTGTTGTAAACTTGTGAAAAGTGCTTTTGAAGCCATTTAATTGATGAGACTAGTTTTTGCAGATAAATGTTCATCTTGTGCACACGTATTCAATATTTCAATGGTATTCACAACTCAAAACTAGCGTGAAAGTGATTGAAGATGACTGTGTGTGTATGCTTTCTGTGATAGTGTGAGCGTCTGTTTATGTTGGATTAATTCTGTTTGTGTGTCATCAGTGTGTGCACCTCCATGTATATAAGGGTGTTGTATATGTGTGTGTGCACTTGTGAGTGCCTGTTTAGTGCATTTTGCACGTATATTTGAAGGTATGCATTGTCATCCATGCCATTTTAATTTTACTTTACATTCATTCTGTGATTTGCTTTATGTATATAAAATACAATTGCCATATAAAAGATAAAAGCTTGAAAGGACCAAATGTAAGATGGGCCTGCATGCCCAATTTGTAATTGTTTGGAAAAAAAATGTGATTGTTCTGGTTGGCCATGGTCTCTTCTTCCTGAAACCATACCCTCCACTACTGCTCTTTCCGAAACAATTATGTTGCTTAATATATCAAGAGTGTTTCATTTTGTGTCTATGAGCTAATTCCCCTTAACATTCAGATCCTGAAGAATGTCAGTATTTTTCCACTTCTTGGTCTTCTTCTTCTTTCTGTGTGTTCATCGGCTGCAAACTCAGCTGGAAAGTTCTGGTTAGTTCATCCAGTTCTGGACCTTTGTCTTGTTCTAGAACTTGAGTTTTGCATGCACATCTGTTTTACAGATCTGGCTTATTTGTATGTAGACAATTGGTTCTCTGTCTCTGAAGCAAATTCATTCTAACTCTGAAGGAAACACCCCTAATTACTCTACTTTTATGACATGCTTGTTAATGGGGCAGAGGGCCTGTTCTTAGCCCCCCCCCCTCCCCCAAAGTGAGGTCCTGGAGATAACTGTGCTACTGAAGGAAATAATTAAAATAATGTGTGTTGAAGTAAAAATTGTTTTGCATAAAAGAAGTGTTTATTGATGGAATAATTTTTCGTATATCTCTAACCCTGTTTCACAAAAATTTATCATCTTTTTTTTTTACAGATTACATTTCTTCTTCTTCTTCTTCTTCACGTCCGCTTTTAATGCTTCAGGTGTCAAGAGAAATATAAGGTTCAGCTTCTTGCTGTTTTGACACCCTTGAGTGTAGACACATCATCCTGTTATAGAAAATTTACAGATTACACTGACTAGAAATTAATCAGTTTTGTTAATTCATCGACTTGTCAGAAATTGGCAGAAGGAGCTTCATGTCCCAGGTACAACCAGCTGTATCAAGAAGTGCTGAACTCATCCGCGGTAAAGAAGGAAGAACAGGATAACAAGGTAAAAGTAATTTTTCTTTTAGGATTCCAATGTTATCATTTAGAATAACATTTGTTCAACTCAAGTGCTAACTAATTAAAATACATTTGTTAACTTTGCACTACTTTCAGGTCGGATGATGATTTAAATGAGTGGTTTGCTGATGAAACAAGGATGTAATTGTATCTACCCAGTTAATTTAGTATAATTATTGACTGGGTGATGATAAAAAGATTTGAGATATTACTGTTCTGCTAAGTGAGAATAGCAGTGACATTTTCCCAGATACCACGTATTTTAGTGTGTACTCAAAATGCCATAGCTTCACAACTATTTGATATAATCAATAATCTGTAATATTTTCTAATTAATGAAAACTGTAACATATTTTAAAAAAAAACTACAATTTTCCTGAAGAAAATGTCATTTCCTAATTAATACAATTTTTAACATGGTGTCAGAAAAAAATGATTTTGGGAAAACTGATTAAATAGCACTGAGTATTAAAAAACCCCAGCACTTTATTAGGCCAGCACTTATGCTGACCTCTTTACTTACACTATTCTAAACTGTTTCAGGACTTTTATAGAATGGTTGAAGAAAAAACAGGTGTCAAACAAGAGTCCATTTCTGATATCTGGCAGATTATTGATACGCTGGTGTGCGAGGTAAGACTATCAAATATTTGTTAAATGTGTGTGTTTTTTGTGCATACTATGCATTTTAACAGCTACTAATACAGAGGCCTTACATTGAAAGCAAGAGGTGCCCTAGGAGAAGGTGATTGATGACATTAAAGAGCTTCTGTATCGACACAAAAAGACAGTAGTCATTGCTGCCCATCAATCGAAAGATTGCAGACTGTTCCTCTCCACTGCGCTTAACAGTAGAAGCGAAGCTGATGATGTTGTATTTGCACCCACTAAAATAATGCATGACAGCTGTTTTAATTTTTGAGCAGTTATTCTGCCATAGATATCCTATTTATTTTCTTGAATCACTCAGTGACAATGTTGCTTGCTTGTTGCACCTCACCCGGACATTACGCAAGTGATAAACACCCGGTGACACAAAGTGCCACCATGCGGATGAGGATCACCCGTGAAAAGATCCCAGAAACCCCTTTCAGCCGTTTTGGCCACATTTGTGGCCACGTCATATTCAGGGCCCCCGGCAGAAGCCAGGGTGGGGCTTCAAATAATGAAAAATTGCATCCCACAAGGGGATGACTTATAAAGATGAACAATGTTTTCTCATATTTCAGGAATGTTAATATCTAGATAAAGGATGTCATAAAAGTCAACTAATTGGGAGCTTCCTTCGAAGTCAGAGTGCTTCTGCCTGAGAGGCAAGGAACCAGCAGTCTGCATGCCGATGAGTCAGATCTGTAAAATGGATGCACATGCAACACTCAGGTTCTGGAACAGGACTGCAATCCAGAAGTGGATGAATAACCAGAACTTCCCGCCGGAGTTTACAGCTGGTGAACGCGAAGAAGAAGAAGAATATCTAGATAATTCAGAGTTTACGGTTTTTTTGTATTGCATAATTGTTTATTTGTGTGTGTGATGTTAAATTTTATAAATATTCTTTATTTCATTGTCTCTTGTCTTTTAAACAGTTGATGTAACTTCTGTAACTTCTTCAGTACTCTTCCATTTGCTGTTATCATGTTACCCACATACTTGAAAACATTTACTTGCTGCAGACTAGCCCTATTTACTTTAAGTTTAGATCCTGGAGGATATTTTGTTTCCTATCTGTGTGACATCATATTTTTGCACCCAACTTCTAGCAAGCTCATAACCTGACCTGGAATGATTGGGTAACGCCTGATGTCTGGAAAAAGTTGGAGTCACTAAAACCTCTTGGCTTTGACATACAATATGCAACACCAGAGATGATCAAGTTAAAGGGAGGTAATGAATAACTTAAAACATCATGATGGTTATGTTTCCTTTGCTACTTTTATAAAATAAACAAAGTGACGTGCTTTTGATTGTTGCAGAAAGAAGTAGAAATAAAAGGAGGCACTCAACAATGTAAAAATCAAAAGCTTTAGTACCATACCATACTATTAGACATGAACTGACCATAAATTATTTACCCTGACTACAAAGGGAATCTTATAGAAGATTTTTAGTGTGTACTGTTCTTTATCAAAAACACATTAAAGATCAAAACTTATTCTTGAATTTTAAGAAAACAAAAATAATGTTCGCAGTTGTACTTGTTTTCTAGAAGCTTCTTTGACGTCAGCTGTCAATTTAACTACTATATTTGCACAGAATAGGATGATGAAATCTGATGCAGTTGAGATATAATTAGAAAATACCACATGAGAACGCACATAGTAAATATGTTGAGACATACTAGCATTCCAGCATCTAAGTATAAATAATGAGTGAGAAAAAACTAGGGCAATTCTTCAGTCCACAAGATTCAAGAGAGGAGGGACCAGTCATATTGATCCTTAAAGAAAGCTTTCAGTCTACAAGGCTTAGAAAGTGGAGGAACTAGTAATATTGACCCTCAGACCAGGCCTTCAGCTGTTGAGACTCAAGAGAACGAGCGATTAGTCTCAAGGACCCTCACAGTTGTGGAGATGCCAGCTCAAGACTTAAAAGGAGAGGAGCCAGTCACATGGAGCCTCAAAGACATACACTAGAGAAAAGACATGAAACAAGACATCGAGTTACAGAGATGACATAAAAGATACATGGATCCATGGTTAACAGTGACACATTAGGTAGGAACACTGTTGAGATGTTAGAGTCGACGATAAAGCCATTAGTACCAGACAGCACTATAAGCCAGGTAGCAGTTACAGACACTACAGCCAGTTAACAAAGTAACTAGAGATGAGGAACACAATGCGAACTTAAGAGTACGTAACCATAGAGAGAATACAGCGCCTTTTAGAATATCATTATGTTGTTTGTGACGTGACTGTGCTGAAGTATCACAATAAAGACAGTATAGACAACAGTTTTTTCCAGATATTGTATTATTCAAGCACCAGAGTCACGTGAGAAGCATGCAGATAGTAAGACATCATCATCATAACCACTATCGACACGACCATCCTTCTCCTCGTCTATACCCTTCCAATCGACTCCTCCTGTAGCAAAAACTAAAGACGAACCTGGGTGTGACATCAACATACGCAACAAAGAAGAGAGCTGTGCTACTAGAGGACTGTTACATGATAATGATGATATTGTCCTTATATCTTTCTTCTTATTCTTTACATCCTCTTTTATCGCTTCGGATTTTGAGGGAGATATGCGGTACTGCTTCGTGCTCTTCTGGCTACTTCAGCCATAGACACATCAAGGTGCTATAGAGTTTCTCTGATGCTATCCTCCCATCTTGTTCTTTGTCTCCCTCTTGCTCTACATCCTTCTTATCTTTTGATATGTGCTTTGTATGGTATAGCATCAGAAGGCATTCTCTCCAGGTGGGTAGACCATTTGATTTGCTGTCTTTATATGTATTTTAAAATTAATTCTGTGCTGACTTGATCTCATATGACCTCATCACTGATTTGATCTCTTCTGGTCACTCCTACAGTCTTTCTAAACTCTGGTAAAATTGCGACCGGCCTAGCAAGCCGGTAGTGATTTACTACCGTTACAACAAATACAATGAGATATAAATGGACTGATCAGAAGACCTTATATCTTTATGATTTTCAATTACCAAGCCATGTTTTAAGTGCACACAATGCTCCAGAGAACTCCTTTCCTCAGCCATGTCAGAGAAATGTAGCTGGACAATACCCACCCTAAAAATCGAGAGAGAGGGAGAGAGGGGGGGGGGGGGGGAGAGAGAGAGTGAGAGCTAGATTTAAATCTACTAGTTTTGAAGCGCTGCTATCAATACATAGCCTTCCTGTGTGGGTTCTGGGGTCCCATTGTGAGGAAATTAAGCATGTTGTAAGAGTTGATTAAATGGGTGCTTCCTTCGAAGTCAGAGTGCATCTGCATGAGAGGTAAGGAACCACCAGTCTGCATACAAATAAGCCATATCTGTAAAATGGATGTGCATGTGCCACTCAGGTTCTGGAACAAGACTGAAGTCCAGAGTGGGATCTGTGTGTGGATTTATTGGAAGTTATCTTCTTTTTCTGACCAGTATCTTCCATTTTAATATTTTGGCAGCACTTATATAATGTAAGAGATTTAGCTTCAAAATTGTTGATAATATTAATATTGTTTTGATCAATTACACGAATCATTCAGCAGTCTTTGCTTTCAACATTAGTGAAATGTCTTTGCTTCAGTCCCAAGATGTTCACATCTTTTAGGATGTCAGTATTTTTTTCTTCTTTGTCCATGGTATTCTGAGAATCTTTCTCTAGCATTTCAGCTCAAAAGCCCCTATTGTCTTCCTTAGGTACTATGAGCAATTCTACATGCTTTCAGCAAACTTCAACCACTTTTACCTCATGCTTGTTAAGGGGGCAGGCTCTAATATCTCCCCTCCCCCTTTCTGTGGGGTCCAAGAACCCACACAGGAGATTTGGGTCAATAACTTCTTTCATGACAAAAAAAAAAAAAAAAAAAAACAACTTGTTATTGACTTTATTTCAGGTCCGCTGCTGAAAGAAATTATTGGCAATATGGAGGCTAGTAATCTTTCAGATACAACAAAACCGAAATTCTACATGTACTCAGCTGTAAGTTGTTTCTTATATATTACTGTTGATTCTTTCCACCATGCATTATACAAAATTGAATGCTAGAGCAAGAATGCATTTAATCGTGCATGCTCAGAAGAGAAGGAGTTACAGATCTGTAAAACGGATGCACACGCACCACTCAGGTTCTGCTGGAACAGGACCGCAGTCCAAAAGTGGATGAACAACCAGAACTTTCTGCCAGAGTTTACAGCTGAATGCATAAAAGAAGAAGACTTTAGGAGAGAACTAAACAAATTTTAGTGAACCAAAAAGTAAAGAAAAGACACTGTCTTTGAATAAGACAGATATTGAAAAAACCTGAGAACAATATAACTAGAATATCTGGAACCCACAGGGACCTTGAAATAAAGGAAGACTAAAAAGCACTTGGAGAGGGTGCTAGAGTGAAGTTAAAAAAATATGGAGGATATGGGAAGAGCTGGTTGCAATAGCGAAGGATAGAAGGACTTGGCATGATTTGGTTGAGGGCCTATGCTCCAACGGGGGTGAGAAAGAAGAAGACAATGTAGGAACTAGAGTGTTTTGCCTTTCCATCATACATACAAAGTGTTGCAAGAAAATATTATTTTTATTATAATCTGGGTTAAAGGAAACATTTAGAGGGAAGAAAGAATAGACCCACTGCTCCTCAACAGACAAGCCCTAAAAGGTGACTATTAAGATTCTGCTGAATGTGTGTGTTAGGCTGAAAGGTGCAGCTATTGCAGTCCAGCTGAAATCACAGCAGAGGGCGAGCACAGAAGAAGTAGAAGAAGAATCATGCATACACAGTTTTGAATGCAACAATTTTCTCATATAGATAGATTTATTTTGGCAAATCTTTTTTTTTTCAAAGACTTTTGGGCCAAGAAAACTCATTGCTTTACTAGCAGAAGGAGCGGAGATGAATATGAAAAAGAAAAAAGAAGTATGAAAAGGAACAAAAAAAAGATATATGAGAAAGAAGAGGGGAAATATGAAAGGAAATGTAAAGAAAAAAGACACTGAGGAAGAGGAAGAAGAAGGATGAGGAGCAGTGGTAAAATTAAATGAAGGGAAAAGGCTTTTAAGGATATTTTTTTTTAAAAGGTGAGAGAGGGGGGGGGGGGGGGGGGGGGCAGAGGAAGGAAGAGAAAAAAAAATTAAAATGAAGAAAAAAGAAGACGTTTGAGGAGGAGGAAGAAAAAGAGGGGAAGGACACATATGAGAAGGAAGCAGGTGGGGGTGGGGGGGGGGGGAAGGAAAAACAATAAATGAATGAAGTAACCATTATTTATGTCCCGGAACCTTCTCATTACTGTGACCACATCTGTTTCTAGCATGATACAACTGTATCATCGTTGCTGGGTGCTATGAAGGTATTTGACAGCCAGCAGCCAATATATAGAGCTCTGGTGATTGTGGAACTGCACAGTGTTAACAATGACACCGATGTCCGGGTGTTTTATAAAAATGACACCGATAGAGAGGCATATGAGCTGACAGTTCCAGGTGAGTTCCAGTTTTGTGTGAATGTTATCAGAGGTGCCAATATACAAAGAAACAAATTAGGATGTGTGCTCGACCACCTTATAATTTTTTAACAGCCGAAAGGGAGTATAAGCCTTGTTTAAGTATATAATAACAATAATGATTATTATTATTAATATATGCTAAATGAAAGATATGAAAGATTCTGAAAACCCATTACTGGAGAGAATTATGCTGCAGAAAGTGTCTGTGGGCTGTTGTGGCTATTTAAGACTTGGAGGAAAAAAAGCTGAAAGGGATCGAGGGGGGGGGGGGGGGGAATGAGGGTCATTGTCCAAATGACACCAGGTGCCATCAGTATAGAGACTCTGTGCTGTTGAGGAGACGGAGTTGACATGGGCTTGTCCCGAACGCTGTGATGTCATTTGAATCTTTATCTAGATAACCCCAAATGAAATTACAGAGTTGGTCCAAAAGGTGCAGATATCACGGTCCAGCTGTAAGCTACAACACAGCATTGTCAACTGCCATTTTAAGGGCTAACACAAAAGAAAAAGGAATGTGTGTTTCCAAACATGTATGTTTTTAACTCTTTTACTCCACAGTGTTGCTAATCAGGCATTTCTGTCTCATATAAATTTGCATAAATGCAGCTCAACTGGAATTGCTTCATTCCTAGGACACCTTCTGCCAGCCACAGCCATTGGACAAGAAGCAACAGTAGATGCTGGTGTAGTCCTTATCAGGATTAAGCCCTTATTACACCAAAGGAAGCAGCAGAAGCACACCCCCATGCAGGAGAGGAAGGAGAAGCAGACACCTAACAGGCTAGCCCGACAGTGATAATCAATTTGGAAGAAAACACCAGTTGAAGATGAGCCAACTGCAACCTTCAGGCAGATTAAAAAGGAAGAGACAACATCAGAAACCTTAATTAAAACCTGCAAACAGGTTGAACATCGTCAGTTCATAGAGAGAGACAGCGTTTCTAGGTGATAGGGCGGGCTTTATTGCACTGGGTTTTATCCCATATAGCTCAGCCACAGAATGGCTAGCCACCTGCTGGGAACATCACACAAAGAATAAGCTTTGTAGCTCTCCATGGATCTCTGTGAAAATTGCACTTGTAAACTGAGTGATGTAGCTGTGAAACCAACCCAAACCCATGACCTTCAGAGTTGAGTTGAGTTGAATCAAGACGTCACAGCATTTGGGGCATTCCCATGCATGCTCTGTCCTCATCCTCAGCAGCCAGGGCAGAGTTCCAATACTGATGGTACTGGTCACAATCTGGTTAAAATCCGTCTTTCCTTTCCTCTCAGTTACACCCAGGTGCCTCATTCTCTCCAGGCCATAATAATCTTCTTTTTCTACTGATTCCGACTCTCTGTACACCTGGCCCAATGTTATCATAACCCTACACAGGTCAGACTTTTCCGCTGGTACACTGACCCACTCCCCTCTTTGCCCAATATTCTTCAGAATGTATGCTTGTCTTTTTTTGTCTTCAGCTTGAGCCATCCACGATTTTCTCCTTTTCAGCCTCTGACCCTTGCCTGCAGCCAAAGCTTCACACAGACGGTGTTCACTGTCTGCAGCTACTCTGAGGTATGACTTAGCCTGCAGCACCTTTAGCCTATCTGCAATAGACCTTCAGAGCGTGAGGCAAACAGTTTAACCACAGAGACCCCTGCCTGGTTAACGGTATCCAGTTCTTTAAAATCACATGTAGCCTACCCTGTTTCCAGACCATCTTTTCACCTCATTCTCTGATTATTTCTATGTATTTTTTTGGTGTGCCTTATTACATTGACCTTATGTGTTCCCAGATTTGATATTTTACTGATCATATTTACAACTGCAGGTTGTGGATCACCTTGTACATTAGAAAAGTTCAGGGAAGTGACTGCTGAAAATATACCAAGTAATTGGACTGAAGAATGCATTGCAAAAAATATTCACTCTTCTTTCAATACTTTGACTCCTGGTAAGTAGTAAGACTTTTGTTTGTGATTATATGTAAGAGTTTTCGAAATAATTTTTTTCTTAATGTTAAGCTTACTATATTTGTATGTACTTGCTATATCTATTTTGTTGTAATGTTTTCAATACTCATATGTTTATTTAAAGATGAACTATAGTTGCCATCTCGCCTCGTGGATTTTTCATTTGAGTTCAGAGTGTAAGTGGAAGGTTTAATTTATTTTAGGTTTGTATGGTGCAGAGTTAAGTGTTTAATTTACTGATCCATTTCAGTCAGATTATTCTTAAATTCAATGTTTTAATTTCAGTGTTAAGTTACTATTTGTAGTGAAATATCTCATGATATAATTGTTGTGATATTCTGATATAAGCACTGTTAATTTTATAACTACCTTTTGTATATTAAAATTGTGGTTTTATGGTAAATATGGTTGATATGAGAGGATTTCAAATTCAAACCTTTAAAGTGTAATAGAAATTACAATAGCCATGCTGTTATATTGTAGTTGTTATTAAGGATATCAAGAGTGCTAAGCATGTGACAATGGTGCAGACAAAAACTTTCATGTCAGAATGACAATTTAAAAATGGCCACCCCATTTTTGACATGCAGCAGAGAGGAACAGTGTTCTATTATCAGTTCTCTGATCAGCGAGGGGAAGAAAACTATAAATTCATCAGTATATTTCTTTCCTAACAAAAACAGAATGTATCACATAACTAATACTGTGTCCCCATGACCTCTGTCATGGTCACGGGAAAATTTGACATCAATTTGGCTGTATAAAAGCTATTTGCTTTATAGGAAACCCCCTAAATGCTATTTTTAGGTAATATATTCATACTTGTGACTCATAAACACTGTGCAGGTGCCAATAGAACCAGCCACATTAAACTATGCTTCATAGAAAGATTGCAGTACTGTCAGGCCAGTTTGGGGACCTTCTTGATGTGACAAAGTTAAGGACAACAGAGAAGAAGAAGAAGGTTCTATGTAAGCTAGCATATTAGCTCTCTTGTTTTCCTCCACTTATGCATAACCCAGTTAGGACAGTTTATTGTACAAACTGCTTCTGATATATTGTTCTCTGTTCTTTTAAAGGCCTATATACTCATTTGAAAGGATGTTGTATATTCTATTTTGCCCCAGGCTTCAGATGGTGAAGTAAGGTTTAGCTAGACAAGCCAGTGCATTATTGCCATAAATTAGGTGTAGATTTTTTTATGCACCTACTTACAAGCATTTGCATTTTTTCAGTACTTCTACTACTAGCATTTGAATCTTTCAGAAAAATGTTGCATTTTCTGTTTGCCTTGAGAAATGTATACGTTCTCATTTTGTAATTAGTAATTTTTCTATTTTGTTTTTGAATTACATTTTAAATTGTTTATTAACTTTAACATAATTATTTTTTTATTATCTATCTGTTTGTTCTGAAGACTGCAGTTCTTTAGCTGCATTTTAGAAAATATTGACTAATATGTAACACAGCAGACAGTGACAGCAGTGCAGTGATTCATATTCTCTTTTTAACTTGACAATTAATATGCTCTCTTTTATCAGTGTCAATTCTATGATTTTCTTTAGGCTCAGTTAAAATAGTATTATGTGTGTATTACAAATTCTCTGTTTAAATTGAATGTTAAAACAATGTTTTCTAATTCAACCAGCATATTCAAATTCTCTAATGTAGCTTATTTTACGTTAAGTTTTCTAATTAATAAAACTGATATTAGATCTAAACTGTGTAATAAACAGTTAATATATAGTATACACCATCCACCAGTTAAATAATGAGTCTGATTTTTGTTATTGCCATGTTGTAAGTGAAGCAAAGCATGTCTTTCAGACAACCAACAGTCATCTTTGATTTGGCAAAGTTAAAAAGCCACCCTTTCTGCAGATGACAAATAACCCACCATTTTGTTTAGCTAGTGCAGACAATGCAAGGTTGTGAATGGAGCAAAAAGCAAACATTAAATTATGTTTTACATTTGCAAAAAGTGATAGTTAGGCAGTTGAATTGATGAGGGCAAGTTTATGGGAATTATTGTTTATCTTATGCACAGATATTTAGGCAGTAATCACAATTCAGAACTGGTATAGAAACGTTTGAAGTTGAATGTAGGCAGGGACGCCTAGTTTCTGTTTATAATGGTGATGTCATGATCATTGCCAAAGTCACAAAATGGATGGAGGATCGATGTCTGATTGGTGGTGATCACTGATGAACTTAATGTTAACCAAGAGAAAAAAAAAGTTAGTAAAATTTTTGGAAGATTTGGGCTTGAAAAATGTAACTTCTCAGTTTGTGCCACATTTTTGTGTGACCAAGAAACATGCACAACTTTTGACATCTTAGAGAAGCATGGCAGTTTATCAGTCAAGGGATAACTGTGTCTTGGAAACTCTGACCAGTCTGCAGAACAGCAAGATAAAAAAAGGACTGAAGCCAGAACCTTTTTCAACATAAACCGCAATAACAGCAACACAAGTCAGTTTGCCCTGACCACCAGCCAGCAAGATAGAAAAAAAAAGAACTCAAGCCAAACAAAAACATTAATGCCAGGGTGCCAGTGAAGAATAATTAAAATAATACAGAACTTATGTTTAAAGGAAAAAAAAGTTGTGTCCCTACCAGGGTTTTAATTTACTGAACTGTGACTTAAAAACTTAGTGAAAAAGGGGTGGGGGGGGGGGGGGGGGGGGGGGAGGTGTATAGAAAGGTGAAGAATGTATACACAAGAAAAAAATTGTAATTTGGGCTCAAGCCTTTATCAACATAAACCACAATAACAGCAGCAAGGGGTAATGTACCCTGACCACCAGTACCACCACCCAGTATAGGGGGCTCATGTGAATAACCCCTCTGGGGTTGCCTTCTGTTGCACTCTATGGTTACAAAGTAACTTGCACTCAAGCGTGAGTGGGTGTGTGCTTGTAATATCTGCTGTGGTCACTTGTTGGTCACTTCTTCTTGGTGTTCACTGGCTGTAAACTCCGGCAGAATGTTCTGGTTGTGTGTCTACTTCTGGACTTTAATCTTCTTCCATAACTTGACTTTTGAGTGCACATCCATTTTACAGATCTGGCTTAAATGTATGCAGACTGTTGGTTTCTTGCCTCTCAGGTAGATGCACTCCGACCTTGAAGGAAACACCCCTAATTAATTAACAACATGTCTGTTGGGAAAGGGGAGGGGGAAGCAGTGGGTCCATTTCCCCCCCCCCCCCCCCTCATTCCCCCCCCCCCCCCCCCCCCCCACCCCCCCCAATGAGGACCTAGAACCCACACAGGAAACTTATGGACTTCATGGTTAATTGTACAGTGAGAATGATTTTTTGATTAATGAGCTAACTAAACCAGGTCCTTCTGCCTAAAGTTTAAGTGATAAATCACACATATGCCAAATATGCCAACTGTTGATAGTGGCTACCCCCGTATGGGTTCTTGGCCTCATCTGGGGAGGGGGGAAATGAGTACAGACCCATTGTGTGTATGTCCCAGCCTAGCTATAAACCGCAGCACAATATGCCAACAGCCCCTTTAAATGTGAATGCAGAAGAAGAAGAAGAAGATAATAGATAATTTATACTCTTTAAATGATACATAAAGTATAATTATATTGTGGCATGACAGAGAAATAGTAAATCTGCCTATTGCATTGTGTGTTGTGGGTTTGTTTCACCTATGCATTACTGCATTAACTTAAGCTGTGACAGTACTTCATTCATACTTTATGACTGAAAGGTAATTTTCCCCAACTTATGCCAAAAGAGGAATGTGAAAGGAAGAAAAATATGTTAGTAGTAGAATAAAATTGTCACATAAAACATGGCCAGATAAAGAAACCACATTTAAATAAACAAACCAATGTTTCCCCATTGTGAATTTGAACACACAAAAAGAAAAATAGATTTCACATTTTATTGCCTGGCATGTTTCACTTACCTACTGCAGTAGCAATGGATTTAAATGAGATTTGTGGAAGCAACTGCTATAAACCGGTTTAGTCCAGAATTTTGCAGACAAAAGAACATAGTCTTAATCTTGCGTTTATCCTGGTGAAACCGACACTTTTTTTTTAATGCAATAGATTTTCTGTTTCAGTTTGAAAGATTCATTTATTTGCTTCATTTTAATAAATTGTTACTTTAGTATGCACCTGAAAACTGCATTGTGAGAGACTTCAAGTACACCTATAAGTGCCATAATGTTGAGAAACCAATGGCGAACTACTGCATATGAAAGTACTTTCCCCATTTACACTGCCATCTTCCCTGTGTGAGTTCCAGGGTCCCATTGTGAGGAAAAAAAGAATAGACCCACTGCCTTCCCAGCAAGCATGTTCGTGGGAACCGATAAACTGTGTACCAAGTCGGAGTGCATTTGCCCGAGCGGCAAGGAACAACCAACTGCTCACCAATAAGTCAGTAAAACGGATGTACACTCAAAACTCAAGCCCTGGCACAAAGCCAATGTCCAGATGGACGAAAAACCAGGACTTTCCACCGGAGTTTACAGCCAGTAAACAAAAGAGAAGACACTGCCATCTACACCTGCAAAGATAGAGAAGCTAACGTCAAAAACCTTGAAACTGTCATATTAAGGAACACAATGAACCTGATTACATGACTTGGGCATAAAGCCTGGTGAAGCATGTCAGTGCTCTCTTCAAAGTCGTCTATGACTTCTGCATTCACCCTTAAAAGGATGGTTGGCATGTTGTAGTTTACAGCTAGGCTGTGATATCTGGGCCATATGGCTGAACACATCTGACTTCAGCAAACTGCTAGTTAATCACCTTTGGTGATTTTCTTGTTAAGGGAATAATTAGTCTGTTCTTTTTTGTATGTGCCCAAAATGAGGCCCTGGAACTGACACAGGGAAGTCAGATAAAGACAGGCGATATTTTAACCGGCTAATGGCTGATGCATTAGAGGACTGACCACACATGGAAATGTTTAGTGTGCAGTGATATCAATTATGATAACATAACATTGCAGCTGATAGTTTAGTGAGGAAAACATTTCACACAAGAAGACCATCGGCTCAGCTATGACAAAACAAAATCTATAATACAGAGGTACTTTGATGCAAAAAATAAAACAATTTCACCCAAAATGCAAATGTTATGTGTTACCAACGCTTAGCTATCAGTGTCAAACACGGACACTGTCTTCAGAAAACAGAAGGAAAATAAAATGTTTACGTACTTTACTAGACGTAACGAGGAAGGATCGATTTAGGAACGATGATATCAGGAGGAGTGTCGGCACAGAACCAATACTAAACTTTATAGATTGACAACAAATCAAATAGTTTGGCCATGTAACATTGGCATCAGACAGGGCACCACAGAGAGCAGTGTTATACAGATACAACAGTAGCAGAGCAATAGGTCAACTACGCAGAATATAAACCGCAGAAATATAAAAGACACTGAAAAGTACTTTATATGCAGCAAACAGAAGCCCCAGTTCCAGAGATCTCTTCCTGCCCTGACGCGGTGAGGAATTCCAGGAGTAGAGAAAGGACAAAAAATATGTATTACTATCTAGAAGAGACCTCATATTCATATTCTTCTTCTACCCTTAAAAGGGTAGTTGCTATGTTTTGTTTTGGTTTACAGATCTGTGCCTTGTTCTATGTTTTGTTTTGGTTTACATATCTGTGCCTTGTTCTATGTTTTGTTTTGGTTTACAGATCTGTGCCTTGTTCTATGTTTTGTTCTGGTTTACAGATCTGTGCCTTGTTCTATGTTTTGTTTTGGTTTACAGATCTGTGCCTTGTTCTATGTTTTGTTTTGGTTTAAAGATCTGTGCCTTGTTCTATGTTTTTTGTTTTGGTTTAAAGATCTGTGCCTTGTTCTATGTTTTGTTTTGGTTTAAAGATCTGTGCCTTGTTCTATGTTTTTTGTTTTGGTTTAAAGATCTGTGCCTTGTTCTATGTTTTGTTTTGGTTTAAAGATCTGTGCTTTGTTCTATGTTTTGTTTTGATTTAAAGATCTGTGCCTTGTTCTATGTTTTGTTCTGGTTTACAGATCTGTGCCTTGTTCTTTGTTTTGTTTTGGTTTAAAGATCTGTGCCTTGTTCTATGTTTTGTTTTGGTTTACAGATCTGTGCCTTGTTCTATATTTTGTTTTGGTTTACAGATCTGTGCCTTGTTCTATGTTTTGTTCTGGCTTACAGATCTGTGCCTTGTTCTATGTTTTGTTTTGGTTTACAGATCTGTGCCTTGTTCTATGTTTTGTTTTGGTTTACAGATCTGTGCCTTGTTCTATGTTTTGTTTTGGTTTACAGATCTGTGCCTTGTTCTATGTTTTGTTTTGGTTTAAAGATCTGTGCCTTGTTCTATGTTTTGTTCTGGTTTACAGATCTGTGCCTTGTTCTATGTTTTGGTTTAAAGATCTGTGCCTTGTTTTATGTTTTGTTCTGGTTTACAGATCTGTGCCTTGTTCTATGTTTTGTTTTGGTTTATAGATCTGTGCCTTGTTCTATGTTTTGTTTTGGTTTAAAGATCTGTGCCTTGTTCTATGTTTTGTTTTGGTTTAAAGATCTGTGCCTTGTTCTATGTTTTGTTCTGGATTAAAGATCTGTGCCTTGTTCTATGTTTTGTTTTAGTTTTGCAGATCTGTGCCTTGTTCTATGTTTTGTTCTGGTTTACAGATCTGTGCCTTGTTCTATGTTTTGTTCTGGTTTACAGATCTGTGCCTTGTTCTATGTTTTGTTTTGGTTTACAGATCTGTGCCTTGTTTTATGTTTTGTTCTGGTTTACAGATCTGTGCCTTGTTCTATGTTTTGTTCTGGTTTACAGATCTGTGCCTTGTTCTATGTTTTGTTCTGGTTTACAGATCTGTGTCTTGTTTTATGTTTTGTTCTGGTTTACAGATCTGTGCCTTGTTCTATGTTTTGTTCTGGTTTACAGATCTATGCCTTGTTTTGTTCTGATTTACATCCTATTTCAGCAAACCCATAATCAGTTACTGTTGATGACATGCTTGTTAGGGGGGAGACAGTGCGTCTACACACCCCCACCACAATTTCCCCCCTTCAAAATGATATCCTGGAACTCAATGAACTCAATGCCATGAAAGAAAGGAAGCCTGTCACCCTATGTGGGTGTGTTTTGTGTGGGTGTGTGTAAGTGCGCACAGGTTTTTGCAGGCATTTTACAACCTAAGCTTTAAAGTTCCTTCATGAAATTCATAATATGCATATCATTAAATAATCATTACATGCTTTATTGGTAAAATACAACTGCTGTGCAGAAGATGGGTAAATGGAAGGGCTGAATGTAAGACAGGTCTTCATGCCCAGTTTGTGACCCTTTGAAAATAAAGTTTGTTCGTTCTTTTTGTATATGACCCTTATGTAGTATATTTCAAACTTTAGTTTTTCTTCCATTCTGTTTAATCTTGTCTGCCATGGATTTTGTTTGTACTAAGCAAGAAATTGTTGCCTATAACTAAGAACAAGTGCATTAGCGTTATATTTAGGTATCATAAAACTTGTGTTTATGTAGGTGACCGGTCAGTCCATGTACATATTGATCAAATTTTGGAATTTTTAAAAAATGGGAACAATAATTGAATTGAATTGCTTAAAATACTTTATTTTAAAATGTCACTTACATTGCAAGTGTTACATGTTTTTGTCTCTTCTCATTTCTTTTTTAGTATGTATTGAATTGCAAAAACCATTTGTTGATTTCTTAATTCTTTCAGTCTAAACAGTTGTTTCTTTCGGTCATTACATCTTAAGAACTCATTACTTCAATTAATAAATGTTTTGGACTTTGGACATTAAAATAATAACACCACAAGACTAATTAGCTTAAGTATCAATTAGAACAGAGTGCATAATTTAACAAGGGAGGGGTCACAAAGAGTTAAGAACAGTCTATTATACCAGTGAAGACCAACATATGCATGTATACCCAAAGAGTATTTCTATTTCTTGTTACTGCTTATAATGTGGGTGCTTTGAGTGGGTACCAGGTGTAGACCTGGGAAGTAAAGGCAGCCGGTGTGATGTTGACCACATCACCCATCAAATGCCAATTGATCTGTAAAATGTTGGTTTAGCCCTATATGCCCAATATGTCTGAAGGTATGAAAAGGGGTCTTTTACTTTTTGTTGTTGTTATGTTATGTCATGGGAGCCACAGTAGCATACGGAAGCCGGATGCTCACCTGCCGGCCCAAAGGTCTTAAGCTGAAATCTGCATTGCATCAGATTAAAAACAATATAGACCGTGATGACAGGCTGACGCAGCCTGAAATTGGTATGAGGTAATGTCCTGGGAAATAAAGGTGGCCACCTTGATGTTGAGCACATCACCCACAGAATGTTGAATTGGTATATACAAATTACTATTACATTTTTTTATGAGAATTAGGTAAAAATGAAATAAGGTATATTCGAATCCTGCTAAGAAATCACAAACACATGTATTTGCCTCATAAAGACTTTGCACCAGCTAAACAAATAATCCTTATAAGGTAGTATCTGTGTTTGTGCTAAACCATTTACAGGATCCCAACATACTTTATTTTATCTAATCATATTCTGTTGCAGTCTTAATTTTCTTCTTTGAAATTTACAATAATCACACACATTTTATAACCTATTTGTGATGTGTTAAATTATTTGCTGTGATGAGTTGGTGGCCTTGTCAAGAAAAGATCAATAAAAATGGATAAAGTCAGCTTTAGAAGTGCACAAATACAAGTGAGAGAATGGACATTGTGGCTAGAAAACCTTCATCAGCCCAAAATTTTTTTTTTACAATAAGACAGAAATACGGCAACTAGAAAACTACAGAATGCTTGCTTGGCTGAAAAAGGGTCCTCTAGATGAACTACACTTTGTGTGTATATACCACATTCCATCCCAGAGCAATCTCTGTGTGGGTTCCAGGGACCCCTTGTGGGGGGGGGGGAGTGTAGAATGAACCTACTGCCCTGCTCCCAACAAGTATCTCATAAAAGTGTATTAATTAGGGGTGTTTTCTTCAGTTCGGAGTGCATGTGCTTGAGAGCCGAGAAACAAACAGTCTGCTTAGGAATAAATGTGCATGCAAAATGCAAGTTCTGGTACAAGATTGAAGTCCAGAAGTAGATGAACAACCAGAACTTTTCGCCAGAGTTTACAGCTGGTGAAGATGAAGAAAAAGATCGCAGAGCACAAAAATCAATCTCTGCTGTGAGATCAGAAGGTCATCGGCTTTTGAAAGACTATTCATCAGAGAGATCCATCCCTACTGTAGCAGAAGAAAGTATTTGATTCTTTTCTGTTTAGCGACCACATCACATGAGATTGAAGGAAATCCCATTTTATTGAGTGTTAGGGTTGGGGTTATTAGTATTCATTTAACACTAACCCTAACCCTAAACCCCCACACCATAATAAAGGATTTCCCTGAATCTTGCATGATGTGGTTGCTAAACAGAAAAGAAGCAAGTATTCTTCTATTGATTAGTTAGGAAACTGTTGCATAGATGAAGACTCAGCGTATTTTCGTACAGTAAGTTAGTCAGTGCTAAACCAGCTAGCACTTCAGTGGATCTCTTGTTCCCATTTTTAACTAGAGGGCCAGACTGGGTGGAGAAAAAGGAATAAAGACACACCCGATTACAATAGACATTTCAAGCAAAACATGTATCAGCAAAGAAAACAACAAAAATACTTAGCTGCATAGGTAGAAATAAATATGGCTGTTTTTCCTTGGTTTTTTAACTACATATTCTTGTTTTATTTGTTGATAAGGACTTTAAAACATATTTTAGTTTGTATTTCTTTCCTTGTGCTCTTGGTATCCTGGTTATATTTTGTATTCATTCATCCTTTGGCATCAGTTCAGCAAGTCACACACATCCCCCCTCCCCATTTTGCTACAGTAGTCAGTAAACAATACAACCATGTCAATACCAGGGCTAAAACCCTGGGCCATTTTGTTGATAGGTTATAAATAAACAGAGGGGGAACCCATGAAGCCGTAGAAGTAGCGAGGCGCACACGCCATCTGGAGGTGACAGGTTCTATTCCCAGGATAGTGACTTAAAGCTTTCAATTTTTATGTGTGTCCTTCTTGCTACTTCTTTCTATGAGTGCCGATCAATACATTGTCTCTTTGTTAATTATATATATAATGTTAATAGGTTAGTGCACTTTACTAAATCAACATAGACATGTTTATTATTTAAAATAGTGCAGTGTATAATCCATCTAATTATGTTTGTGTCACATTTGTTTCTGATCCACAGCCTCATGGATTGCCTTGACTGTTGGTGTTGGCCTGGGTTTTGCTGTTGCCGTGGGCATCATTGTTGCAAGTATCAAGCTGCACCGAAAGCAGAGTGTCAACTATTCAAAGATATAATCACAGAACTGTGTCTCTTCAACAAGATCCATATTGACTCATTCTAATTTGAAAGTTTCATTTACTTTTGAAGTTTTTATTTCATAATTGCCTAGTCTTCACATTTCCTATGGAATGTATAAAAGTAAAAATGACTTATATTTAATAGATCAAATGGCACTTGGTGGGTGATGTGAAAAAAATCTGGCCCCTGTCAGGACCTGAACCCACAACCTTCTGATCAGCAGGGGGCGTCTAGCCACTAGACTATGGCTGCTCCCTATGGAATATATGACTTCATCAATGATTCTTTTTCTGTCCGTTATCCCCCCTTTGGCCCTCAACCAACTCATGCCACATCATTCTTTCCTTTGCTAACACACTCAGTTCACCCCCACTTCAACAGTTCATATCCATCAGGCTGTTACTCTTCAGCTGTGTCCATTTTATTGCAGTTTGCTTGTTGCCTCTTCAGTAGCATATGTTTTATGTTTTATCTTGAGAACTCAGCTATGTGTCATGGTTGTTTTCTGAGTTATTTTCCTGTTTCTTTTCATTATTTCCAACTACATTAGTGCTTATTACTCTGTTTGATTCTGTTTCTAAATATTATCTGTTTATGGAGATATTCCTGCAATTTTATGTCAGTTTATTAACCTCTTTATGAATTTGATTAGATAAATTTTTAAGAACATTTCAGTTGAATTCAGCTCAAATTGTCATTGTTATCTAGAGACATTTATAGGTGTAGCATTAGCCCCTGTAATAAATCTATTAGGGTACATTGATTGACCGTGCCAAAGCTATGTTGACTAGCAAGCATTCTAACTATAGATGTTGATTAGTTTCTTGTTTCAGCTTTCAGCCTGTCTCTCTATGGATGTTCATGACATCAGCTTGATCCATTGTTACATACTTTTATCTAGCATTTTGTAAAATTCTTTATGATTTTAAATAATAAGATCAAGAATATATTGCACAATTTTAACTATATCTCAGTCGGTGCATTAATACATAATTTACATGAAGCACACACAAAATAAATTCTACACCATGGAAGTGTTAGATTAACCACAAGATCTTTTTGCTTAAATAATGCGACATTGCTCTTCTAATTCCAATGTATGTCCATATAGTAGGCACTTGTTTAGAGATTACGTTATTTGTGTATTTCAGTTAGAAGGAAATTTGTGCTCCATTATGTGTTGATTTAAAGTGTGTAGTAATGAACCTGTTGAGATACTCTGAAATATACCTGAAAATAAATTGTCTGTTTCCCTATTGAAATTTTTTAAATTATGAGACTCAAAAATTACTTCAGAACTGCATTTAAAGATGTAGATGCAACTTAATTGGGGCAAGTGTATGGTTTCAATTACAGACTTAGTCTTTACCTGATGGTAGAATAAATTCAGTTTCTCATTTTTGACTGGTTTCTTATTGATCTTTATTGTGGTTTTTTTTTAAATAACAGATATTGCTTAAAATGGTTGCATTTGGAAAAAAATGGCTTTTAGCATATATAAGTAAAATAACATTAATACTTGCAGATATGGGATAAAGACATTTTGACTGCTTTTAAATAAAT